CCAGGCATCACGACTTGGTTCACAACCCACAATGCTTAAATTAATGTGCTGCTCATGCTTGCTTAAGCTTACTTTAGGTTCAATGCGGCTGCGCCATATTCAAGTCTACGTGTTCTGTCTGCCCAGACCAGACACGAGCGCTGCGAGACGGCAACTGTATTATCCCGCGAAGCGAGCGGGCGGCGCCGACTGCGGCGGGTGGCGCCCCAGGCAGTACACCGCCATTCGGGGCCGCGGCGTACCAAAGTGCAGCAGCACTGGCGGCGCGAGCAGGGGCGGCGTCAGGGGTACGCCAGTAACATCATGATACATCCTCCTTCTGCTCAGTCCTACCACCTACCACTTAAATACTGGCACGTAAGCCCCATCGCTATTTTGCTGTGCCCTCGCTCAATAAGAACTTTCCTGTATTGGACTGTTGAGCGAGATATCACGACAGTGGGCATGTCCCACTTAAAGCTTACACCACTTTTGATCCACCTGCTGTCGCAATGCTGCGGTTGGAACTTGCGGAAAGCCGACTGGACAAAGATTTAAGAACTCTGTGTGATCAACCACAATCGCTATGAGTTGCCCAAAGAAGCCCTATCACACACATTCTGCATTCTGCAACAGCCGCAACCATTCCCCCGGCTAAACCCTCCTCACGGGGCATCCCAGTACCGTGGTGGATCATCGAAGTTAAAAACACTATTGCATGTCGGAAGCGTGCCTTCCGCTGCTTTCGGCGGCATCTTGGCGAGCCTCGTCTTCTTGCCCGAAATTATGAGCGTGTTCAACCTGGACGAATCAAAATGAATGCTTGCATGAATGAATACGATGCTTACAATGAATGCTTACAATGAATGTTGCGGTGAATGCTTCATTTTTGACAAGCTTATATTCAGTTCACTGCAGCTGCGCCCCGTAACAAGCTATCGGGACTGGCTAGAACACTTTCCGGAGCACGTCCTTCTGCCCTCGTTACGCATTAACAAATGTACAGTTTTAGCAGAGCCCTTGATTACCAAGAGAACCTTGTTTAATGTAGCTCCTCCGAAATTACCAGGCAGGATTGGTAGACCTTGCACAAGTCCATGAATTCGCCTACGCGCTACTTGCTTCCTTTCCGACGATACAGAAGACCATCAAGTACCATTTTCTTTACTGAAGCTGTGAAGTGCAATAAAATCCGCCAGCAACACATCGGGAGGCAATGATCAAATACGCTATTATTTCTACGTAATATTCTTAACACCAGCTGCTTTTATTCCGACTGTTTTCAATGACCTGTGGCCCTTGACTTGTCCATATTTTTCCTGAGGCATGGAAGAACACTATCGTCACTCCCCTTAAGCCGGGTAAAGACGCCCAGGACCCCTCAAATTATCGCCCCACTGAGCTCACGAGTTGCCCGAGAAAGCGTTTTGAAAGGATAATGGTCAAATGAATTACATCGCTAGTAGAGCGACGCGTCCTACTTTAAAAAAATCAGTGCGGAGTTCAACGCAATCGCAGCACAGTAGACCACATCATCCGATTTGAGACTGTTATTCGTCGCTCTTTTAATCCTCGACATCAAACGACTGTTGTCTTTCTTGACATTGGTCGAGAATACGACGTGGTCTTTAAGCCCACATTCATCTTCAAAATTCATCAACTGGGATTTAAAGGACATTAAACGCGTTATCTCATCGAATTTCTCTCTGGCACAATGCCATTTCGTGTGAGAAGCAGCTCCAGTTTCTTGCACCCACCATCCAGAGAAGCGTCTCCCACAGGTAAGCTGTATATCACTGATTCTCTTTAATTTCATGATAAACTATTTATTTGACGCATTTCCAGCGGGTATCTCTTCATCACTTTTTGCTGACTAATCCGCGATTTGGTGCTCGGATGCCGGATAGGACCACGCGCTGCCACGACTCCAAGTCACCCTGAACAAGGTGCAACAGTGGTCAGAATGTTACAGGTTCTGTTTCTCCGTTCCCAAATCTGCTGTTAAGGTCCTAAGTAAATGAATGCGTGGTACTCCAGTTCCCAGCTTCAGGTGGATGGACACCACATTCCTTTCGTTTCGTCTTTCACATTTCTCAGCATCGCGCTGGATCCCGGACCGTCATTGCGAGAACGCATGGAACGTATTCGCTTCAAATGTCTAAAAAGACGGACTTTCTTCAGATGCTTATCCGGGTCACGGTATGGTGCCGACTGCCACACTTCATTGCTTCTATGCAAGTTTTTAGTCCCTCCCATCATTAAATATGCGTCTTGGTAAATGCGGAAGGACAAAGGTATGCTCTTCAGCCCCTATGTTTTGTTTAAAGCATGTGTTTTTTTTTGCGAATCACACAGAAATTAATGCGCACTTCTCCAATTTAAGCACTTGAGGTGGATGCACACGTTATTCACTTGGCTCTATGACACATAGAATGGCCCCACAACCTATCTCGACACACTTTCCTCTCATCAGATTTAGCTCACTTTGTTTTGATTGAATGCAATCGACGTTCTTAACCTTTGTATAGTCTATAAAAGTATTTAATTTAAGCCGTATTGAACTCACTCGGGGTTGGATCCAGGGAGCAGGCACTGGGTGCATGCATCTGCTCTGGTCGGCACATGGAGGTGCCCCTTTAGAGGCCACCTGAGGGCGCCGATGACGCTCTTCTTTGGGGGACATGGGAGACGGTATGCATTTGAGTTGTTGGGGATGGGTGCGGGATTAGCCATGAATGATTTAGGTCATCCCCATATTCCAGGGCTTTTCACTTTAATCTCACAAACCATTGCGTGTCTTATAGCGTTAGGTATGTGAGGTTTATCACACCGTTTATCAGCTGAGCTGTTGTCTTGTGGTGAAGGCAACCATGGCTTTTGTTATCAGAGTGGTACGAGACGCCACTACGCAGAAAGGTCAAAGGAGATAGACTTTGTGTTATGACCATCTTTTACCCACGTGAGTGTTCTAGGCCAAAAAAATTGGGGGGGGGGGGAAGCCAACATTGGACGGCCCAACTGAACACTGGGGGGGGGGGGGATGGGCAGCTTCCTCACAAAAGAATACAAACCGACACCCATGCACTAAGCGATGACCAATGGGCGAACGAAGAAGATGGCGCATCTTCAGGAGAATGACTGGGGAGCTAGGTAGATCGACATGCATACCTATGGTTGCACAAAAGTAAGCTAAACGCAACTTAAATCTAAAAAAATGGGGGCCAGTTAACGTTGTTGCCCCCCCCCCCTCTTTGAAAAGTGTGGGGGACATTGGTCCCTGCCCCTGTCCTACAACCATGTCAAACACCCTTAAACACATTTATGATGTTTCAGCGCGGCCGAAGTCAGTGCATCACACATCCGCGGCATCTGAAGCTCTCTCGCTGAGGAAAACAATAGTTTATGAAATTGTTACAGCAGTCATGCAGGCTTCGTTGAATTCAAGTTTCCGTATTTTCAACGATCACAAAGCAAGTCAAGATTTTTTTAGCACGTACTCATTTTACTGTGTCTCGTACGCGAGCGATTTCTGGGGGCTCGTACCGTGTAGAGCGTCACCGGCGGTAGGTAATGTCACCTTTTGAGCGAAACGTCAACTACTGTTTTTGTATCATTCTCCCTGGGGGCCGTCGGTGCCATGGTTGACGCGAGCCGCTGCGCACTAGATATTAACAACGATCACCCTGCTCGGCCTGGAATGCGGTGCGTTTGAACGACGCCCGTTATGCTGACGATGTCCACTTCACCTCGCACAAGTGAAAAATCAGAAAACACAACGGTGTATACATAGTGTCTGGTGACGGGTGCAAGCTCGGGATCACGTGCTCCAGCCGGGCCAACGGGACTGCGTATTTACGCAGCCGGGAACAAGCAGCAGGTGTGAGCTTAAGTCGTAATTTACATGGACGTGAGCGGAAACGTACTGGCGGCTAGTGGCTAACGTCTTTGGCGCCTGGACTCGGGTTTGAACCCGGTTGCACCATGGCACCTGAGCGATTGTATGGTCTCTGCAGTCGCTGGTGCTTCAGAAGTGTTGAAAATGATTACGCGGTGTAAGAACAGTGTTAGTACCACACGTGACAAAATTTGAGCGAATTAGCATCCAAAGTGTACTCTTTATGTGGAGATCGGGGCTAGATGCATCATGTGATGTACGTATTACTTGGGGTAACGCCATATATGTGAGATAGATGTATAGAGCTGTCGACGACTTTTCATTTGCACGGTTTTATTGGTAAATCCGAGGGTGCTGGTCCCCAATTTGAGTGTGATTCTTGGCTACGTCTTGTCAACGATATTTTGGCGCCGGAAGGCTTGGTTGCGGTGAAACACACCCGAAGCTACATGACGTCACAACGTTGTCAGCCACGGACGAGCCTTGCTGCTCGGGGCCTTTCGCGTCATCGCTCAGCGCTCTGGGGCGTTTGTACGGGGCCAGAAACAACAGTCCGCTGGGCCTTTCGGGCGTGCTGCGGTCGTCTCCAGGCCCTTTCGTCGCAGTGGGGCCCTGTGACAGTCTTGGGGTTGTGCGGTTGCCCTATGGCCCCGCAGGCGCCATGAAGCCATGTGGCCGCCTCGGGGTTCTGCAGTTTAGGGTCCGGAGACGTGTTGGTGTTGCGAGACTCTGTCTCAGCGACGTGTTGGTGTTGTGAGACTCTGTCTCAGCGACGTGTTGGTGTTGCGAGACTCTGTCTCAGCGACGTGTTGGTGTTGCGAGACTCTGTCTCAGCGACGTGTTGGTGTTGCGAGACTCTGTCTCAGCGACGTGTTGGTGTTGCGAGACTCTGTCTCAGCGACGTGTTGGTGTGCGAGACTCTGTCTAGGGTGTTGGTGTGCGAGACTCTGTCTCAGCGACGTGTTGGTGTTGCGAGACTCTGGCTCAGTGACGTGTTGGTGTTGCGAGACTCTGGCTCAGTGACGTGTTGGTGTTGCGAGACTCTGTCTCAGCGACGTGTTGGTGTCGCGAGACTCTGTCTCAGCGACGTGTTGGTGTCCCGGGGCCCTGTGGCTGTCTCGAGACCCTACGGCCTTCTCGGACCCTGCAACCATCCCGGGGTCATGCGGTCATTCCGCGACCCTGTAGTCGTCCCGGACCATCCGGTCGTCCCGACGCCTGCTGACATTCCGGGTCCCGTGGTCGTCCCAGAGCTCTGCGGCTGGTCGTCCCGGGGCCCTATGATCGTCCCGGGCTTCTGTGGCCATCTTGGGGTCCTGTGGTCGTCCTGAGACCATGCACCATTGGTGGGATTATGTGGCATTGGAGAAGGTCACTTCTGGAATCGGGAGATGCTGCTAGCGGACCTGCATGACTTATGCCTGGTGTCTGGAATCGGGAGATGCTGCTAGCGGACCTGCACGGCTTATGCCTGGTGTCTGGAATCGGGAGATGCTGCTAGCGGACCTGCACGGCTTATGCGTGATGTCTCTGGAATCGGGAAATGCTGCTAGCGGACCTGCACGGCTTATGCCTGGTGTCCCTGGAACTGTGTGCATTCGTGTCTCGTGGTGTCACTCGTCATCTGTCCTCTCAGTTCACGGCTCACCTCACGTTCTACGCACGCCATCAACATAAATTATCATTAGTAAACAGAAATGTTGGTTCAGGAAGTAACTGGATGTATTTTATTGCCGTGTATCACATGTAGTGCGCATATAGCGATTATACCCATATTAAACACATGAGCAGATGCGTTGTGATAGTACAAGCGATCACGTAATGCCTTACCGTGTCCCAAACGCATGGCGCATGTACATAACTACTCACAAACGCATATGTGTCGGTCGAGATCGTCACCACTTCGTGACCGTTGAGCATGAACGCCATCTCTTACACTCTGCTGTCGAGATTACAGTCCAGCCTCGGGCAGCCGATCATTTTATCGACAAACTTATTTGGCGTGAGCTTGAAGGACGCGTGACACAACATAAATTATTGCAGATGAACATAAACGGCACACTTGGAACGTGTGCATCAAATAATAAAAACGAATTGCGCAAGATATCACAGATGTGCATACAACAACACATCAAAGGCATACGTATCTGCAAAGTACAGAAAAAGTGCGTTCGCAGGATTTCGTTTTGGAGGACAACTAAATTGTGTTCCGAAAATCCTGAGTTTACCGCGCCGCAAGCGCACGACATTTCTCGTATGACGGTAAAACACCACCGCGTGTTAGCAAGATCTTTAGCTCTAATGGTGCATCTCGACTTAATCATTTTGAAAGTGAATTCACGCACATATTAATGCGTATAATAAACTTGATAGGGGAGGTACGAGGACCTCCTGGGTACTAACTGAATACGCCTCCGTGAGGGATTAGTCTGTCAAGCCACGTCCACAAGTCAGGCAGCAGCAGCACTGCCACCATTCCAATTAAATACATCCCACTGCTTACTTGTCGGCATTGTGAGCCGTAGCTGCCCCAGGCGTGCTTCAAAACATTGGATCACATGCTGCGTATAGACTCACCGCCCGCGGTTCCAAACATGCATCGTCTGACCATCTGAGCCATCATGGCTGGCGGTGACAGGAAGCTTGCAAGAACTGCAGGCAGGGCTCCAACCCGTCGCACATTCCTCTCGTCGTGTCCCCAGGCTCGTCAGCTGGTGCGACCACCGCCGTGGATGAGTCCCCGGTGCAGGGACGCGTCCCAGTTCGGCCAGAGCCTTTGGCGGTGATGGTGGGGGACCATCTCCCCGTAGGCGGGCGGCGGCGGGCCGGCGCACCCTGCAGCCAGCAGTGGCGGGTACGGCCAGCAGCGGCGGAGCTGGAGCTGCCGGTGCCGGTGCTGGTGCTGCAGCCAGAGCCCGTCCGCGCCAGGCAGCGGCAGGCCGGGACAGCCGGCGGCCGTGAGGGCCAGCAGCGCGCCGGGCGGCAGCGACGGCGGCCTCCGCAGCGCTGCCGCCGCCACTTGAGACGCGAGGTGACCCAGACCCGACGGCGGGCCCGGTCCGGCCCCGTACGACAGCGGCAACAGTGGCAGCGCCGGCGGCACCAGAGGCGGACCGAGCGACACGCCTGGTCGCACGGACTCAGGCGAGGCCCGCTCCGCCGCCGCACCGCGGCTCGCTCCGCCCCTGCCGCCTCGCGCGCCGCCACCCCGCCTCGTGCGCGGCGTCTCGACGCGTCGCACCGACCCGTCGACGCCGGCGGGCGGGACCTGCACCTCTGGGCTCGGGCGGCCGGCGCTGGACGGCCGCGGTTGGCCGCCGCGTACTGCACCCTCTCCAGATATGCAGGCGGTGTTCCGGCTGGGATTGTCCTCGTAGGGCCGGAAGGAGAGCGTCGAACGCCCCTCGACCTCCGGCGCTGGAACGGGATAGGCCGGTCAGCGCCCGACCGCCTCGGAAGGCTAGGTGTTGTGGACAACGGTCCCGGATCGCATGAAATATCTGGCATGCCCTGCGTCAATCGGAGCGGACATATTTCTCGCAAATTGTCGATGGCTTAATAGAGTGGAAGAAGAGGGTGAAGAGTGGAAGAAGCATAGAGTGGAAGAAGAGGGTGATATAAACACTCAGCTAACGCGTTTAGACATACAATCCCGCCTGCCGTATTGTTTTTGTCCTACAGGCGGGTTTTACGTTTACTGGAACAGGCGTGTTTGGGCTGGGATGCGTCGGTCTGGCAAGATCTTCAGGCGATGTCGGAGACTGGGAGAGAGGGAGGGGCTTCCGACAAGGTGCACAGGCGGGTTATGTACCCGTGGCGGTTGCATGCGTTGCCTTCGTCATCGCCCGACTGAGTCGATGGAGTCCTCACCGGACTCCACGGCGGGGGCGGATGGGAGGAGCCGGGACGACTCGGCATCTCCCACCACGTCCAGCGCGTCCTCGTCTTCGTCCGGCTCGTCCGACGATGGCGTCGGCTCGTCGGACGAGGGCGCCGGCTCGTCCGTGTCGCTGGCGAGCGAGCCGTTATGCCGACATGTGCCGGACCTCCGGTTTCTGCATGGAGTCAGGGGTGTCAGGAGGCCACCAGCGTTGAGCGGGGGACTCGAGTTGCATGCCAGACTTGTCATCCAGACACAATGGCCGCTTGCAGTTAGCCAAGCACACTTTGCTTATTGACCTGGCCTTAGCGCGAATAAGGTTGCGTGCCGCGTGTCCTAGGGCAAGCCGAAACGCCGTAATAAATTACTACCATCATCTCACGTTGATCACGCCCATGGATCGACAACGATGCTTGATGAACGCGACGACTATACAGACAGGAACGCATCGGATGCAGGCTATTTCGTCACACGGCTGCGTGATGTTGGCTGCATTCGCTGGCTGCACGGGCAAATGGTGTCCGTGTCAGGGCGCTTAACGTTAATATTTGACCAGATACCACCCGGGGCGTCCATTATTTCCGGAAAAAGTCACACGCGTAGACAATAAAGTAAACAATTAGCCTCGCACCTGTCATCACGTTCTGATATTTACAGAAAGGGAAGTCCATGCGGCATTGTGACATCCTTCTCTTATTTACGGCGTTTACCGATCAAAGAGCACAGGACCGAGGGGCATCTCATGCAGCTATGTGTTGATGATCGTTTTGCGTGTTTCCCCGTCCAGGATCAGTAGAGAATACCAACGTGTGACGGTTGCCTTAAAACGGATCATAGGATTTGTAACATGTGTGACAGATAACGAAGCTACAGAAGGCGCCATACTGCCGCATCATTTTTTCTTTGTTATAATTTCAGAAATATTGCTGGTGCTGGTTTTGTCAACATTATCCCCGTGCTGCAACAGACCTCGCGGCTCTTAATCTGACGGAGTCGCGCCCATATCAGCCGTTCCTGCGAACCAGCGACAGGAGATTTCGCTCAATCCGTAGGGATCAAACACGACACCGACAATCCACCGCCGCTCTCGGCCGCACGCTGCAGGGCTCGTGACTCGCCGGCCGGTCGGCACCCTTTGGTGGCGCGGTAGCCAGCGCCCGTTAGCGGCCGCCGTCCACGACAGCGGAGCCTTGGCCGCGTCGTGAATCCATCACCGTTGACGTTTATAGGACGGGTGCGGCTGACGGCCGCGGCCGGCCCCGCTCTGAGGACACCGGCGATCAGCCGGCCCCGCCACACCGCATCAGATACAGGCCGGGGGGGGGGGGGGGGGACGAGGAGGCACCAGCACCAGCTGCCAAGCTGCCAGGACAGCCAAGCGCGTGTGCGTCATCGCACACATCGATACCCGTGAGGTCATTACTGCCTGAACTTCTTTTGAAAACTGCTGTGCTTGTCTTGGGACGACTTTGCTGTGTGGATCTGTGACGCCTGTGGGACCAGCAGGGCTGGCGGTTGATGGACCGTCACGACTGACGGTTGATGACAGCCTGCAGTAAGCGTCAACAGTAACTGCATGTGCAGTGCCTGCCTTGAAAGGGGGGGGGAATTCCACATGTTAAGAAGGACCTGAGCTTCTCGCCCCATGTTTCTAAACTTTGAGGCGGGGCCTGCGGGTGCCGTATAGACAAATCGACTTCAACTCGCAAGGTGCCGCCCCCATCCCCAAATACTTTGACAAGGCTCCACCTCTGTGCTCAAGGCTGGATAAATCCGTGGATAACGTATACGTCGTGGATAAGCCACACTGGGACCTCGGGCAAGTTTTCCTGTGATCACCAATGGATGCTTTCCACATGCGATCGTGATAGCCCCTGTTCGATGATGACAACTCCTAAAAGGTGCGGGCTGAAGATCAGCACGTCACTGCTGTGTCGGCTGCTGCGTGACTCTGCTTCGTCGTCAGCGAGTGAACATAGTGACCTCGATGTGACGAGCTGCCTGTGTCCGTTCTTTCAGACAGCTGACCCCTGTCATGGCCGCCTCGCATATTCACCCCAGTCTTACCTCTTTTCTCCTTTGCCTGAGCCGACGTCGCGGAAGCCTTTGGCGAATGGGTTGTGGTCTATCTTCAGTCGAGTTATCTGCAAAAATGGAAATTCTGACTAACGGGTGCGTTCAACTAGCTCTGGATGTCATAGAATCCACGAAACGATATCGAATCTACGTAAGATCCCATAAACTCTGTGTGAAAACAGCACACAATCTTTTCAGCGTCACCAGTCGATTTGACACAGCCATGGCACGAACCTTTCATTTGTTTATGGATGAAGAAAATGAGCATGAAGTGGAAACCGTTGTGCTCTATACCAGCAGGAGCTTTTGGTTCAGTAGGAGACAATCGCGCCCGGCCAGGAGAAAGTTGACTTCCCCTGGCATCTCTAACTTCCAGACATCATGAAAAACAAACAAAAATATCGTTGCAAAGGTATCATCAAATCATGAAGAATGTGCATCAAATTTTGGACTCTAGGTCAAATGTGAGGTCTGCAGAGGTCACGAAAGAAAAACACGTTCGTTCCAATAGATGTAGTTAAAACATATTTTAACGCACCAAGACCGATATTGAGGGCACATAAGCAAGCGATAAGGCTGTGAAGAGCACATTCCGACCATTTTCTTCTTCCGTAAGGTCAGGTCAAGTCAGGTCACCACTCAAAATTGGTCTACCAATAGCCCACACTAATGATACGTTTTCCTTTTACAATGCACTCTTGACTAAAATTATTTTATTAGGAAGACAAAAGCATTCCAGGCACAACAATATTATCTGAGGCTGACATAGAGGTCAGCTGAGGTCAACTTAGGTCAAATTCGTAACCCATCCACATGACAAATTAAGTGCTAACTGGGTTTAAATGACCTACGAAACGCATCTCTATCATCAGAAATAGTGTCTTGTACATCTACAGGTACTCAGAATCGCATAGCTCTTATAAACACCATACATGGTTTCTTCGACGCCTGGCAATGTATTCATAACAAACTGAGAGCGGGCATGTTAGTTCATTAACCTATACACCATCAGCTTTTCAAGCACGACATAGAGGCGGTTGCGCGTATCGGCATCGTTTATCTAGTCTCTCCATCACTGACAGCAGAGGTCCTTGACCTTGGATGGCCTCATGTGGCCTTTATGTCCTCACATGATCTATTGAGATATCATTACGCATTAACATGATATGACATGCTTTCAGTGGAAAATTCGAATTTTGCGTCCAAATTAAATAGCAAAACTGCCTATTTTGAGTTCAGCATGTGTTTTGCAGATGACACCCACAGAGCAAGGTTATGTCCTAGGCCGAAGTCATGTGCTCTGGGATCATTTGATGGTTGCGCATTTGAGGTGGTACTCTTTTTCTCATACACGAACACTAAAACTGCACAAAAATGCGTACGAATTTGCATTTTTGACGAAAAATAGCATAAATTGACCTGGCCACAGGTCACTGATCTGTCCCGTTTCAAAATTTGAAGGTGCACAAACTATATGTACTATCACGTTCTATTATTCTAGCAGGTTTCAACAATGGCAAATAACGGACAAAACAGTTACGTGCAGTCAATATTTTTGAGCAGTTGACCGCTTTGACCTAGCCTAGGTTGCTGATCTTGGCAAATGAAGACTTCAATTTTTTGACGGAGGAAGCCAAATTGATAAATACGCTGGTAGTGAAAATTTGGTGTTATTGCGAGCTCTCATTTTTGAGCTGTGTCGGAAGGACCGTAATGGGAGGTCAACTTCCCCCCCCCCCCCGGGCATGGATTCAATTGCTGCAAATTGCGACAGAAGCATCGTAACCGAGCTGATCAGCATCATTCAACATTGCATGGAAATTAAATGGAAACATTTTTGGATGTTTTATATGCAGGCAGCATACGCTGAAGTTTATTCCGACTAACATATGAGAAATGCCTGAGCAAAAATGTTCGGTTTTATTGCGGTCAACCGGGCCGAGAGGGCACTTTCAACCTAATTTACTGTTAGACGCAAGGATTAGTCACCGAACGCAGACAATTGTCGTCATGAATCAATATAAATTATTATTTCACCGTGTATCACGTAAGAAAAACGTTAGAAAGGTAAAACGGGATCGGCGATGAAAGTGCACTAATTGTGCGACGAATGACGTTTACTGCATGGTGCGTCAAAGCGAGTCAGACATTTTGAGCCAAAGCTAAGAACAAGCCTACCTAACACGGCAGACTGGCGTGTATGCAAGGGCGATTGACATCATGTATGTGATTAGACGATTGAACAGCCATTAAACAAAGCTGGATCTCTTCGAAAAGAACTGTAGATTTAGCGCTATTGCAAAGTCGCGATGGATTTACTGCCATTTACCTGGCCCGCCGTTGGTCAGGCATGTAATCGGAGGCTCCCAAGATCTGAACTCCGGGAAAATGTGCGTGTCTTTTCAGAAAACTTGAACACGCAGACGTGGTAATCATGTCAACAGACCCCGATATCATGCACTGTAAGAAAGGATTCCTCGACGGCCACCGCTCGGCCGCTGACAGAGAGGAAGGAACGGAGGGGGACCACCCCCTTCACTGTCTCGCCGCCTCCAGAAAAAGTCACCATGTCAAGGCTTCAATGGTCAGTGACAGAGCGATCAGCTGCTCCGAGGCACAAAAACTGACTGGCCGGCCGGCATGAGACAATCACATAGCAGATAAGCCTGCTTTCAAGAACCGGTAGCATTAATTCAAAAACAGAACAGCACTTGCCGAAAAACTTAACATAGCAGTGGTTCGAAACATAGCTAAAAACCATATTGATTATAGTTAACCTAAATTCGAGAGACCGTAAAACTATAGTTTACCCGTATGTGCCATAATCTACCCCCCCCCCCCCCTGGCCGTGTGCACGGTGGCAGCACAGCGGTCCTTTGTACACCGAGCGGGGTCTCTCATAATGAGTCGCCTGTGGATGCTCGACGACTAAATTCGATATAAGTTTTAAGCGTGCTGCCATGGTCCTTTTTCATGCGATAGGGTTGTTTTTGCGTGCATGCCTTTATGTATTTTTTATTCCTTATCACTTCCCGTCGTTTTTTGACATACTGCTTTATCTCTCAGATTAATGACGCTCAATAGCCACGTACGTATGTCGAGTGAAATACTGCTGATGTGAAATACAATACAGTGTTGTGTGACGTAAATAGCAGTTAATAAGTAGGACAGGGACGTGTCCACGCGATGGGAACGGTTGTCATGCCGCCCAGATCCAAGAACTTTACACTGGATACTGGGCGATTTGACGGAATTTCGGTCTTAATTCGCAATTCGTATTCCGTATTCATCAAATCACAACCAGTTCTCAATAGGCATGCCGGCAGGCAAAAGTCGGGTCCGCCACGGGGTCCTACCGATGGTGTTGAAGGCATCCTAAAATGCTGCAAGAACAATTCGTCCATAATTCCAGCGCTTAGCGAAGCACGTCCACAAGCACGTGTTCGTGACCACCAGCACTCACTGGGAACATCGAGTTTCTAATGATGCATATTAGTGTTTCCTTGATAACGTCATGTCTGCTGCCATATTGAAGGTCAGTTATTTACAACATAAAATCTATAATGTCCAAAGTGTTGCTAAAGCACGTCATGTGAATCGGTGAATAAAGAGCTGAATGCAGTAGGCTATTAGATCCACTTCACTTGTGTCCAACAATGAGACGACAATGACGAGGTTTAACAAACAGCTATTAAGAACTTTGTTTTAGGCAATGTGCTAATCGAGCGACACCAACTATTTACGTCACGTGACCTCGTGTGGATGCCCTGCCGTCGTGTACTAACAGTACCCACCAAACACATACTGCGAGCTGTGGCGATGAAAGGCCATAAACGCATAATCACAGCGATTGCACAAGATTGCAAATAACCCATCAGTCCTATCGAGAGGAAATTACGGCCATTCCAGACGAAAATACTTCTGGCTGTAATGCCTAGTCAGAGGCGTGAAATAACAGGCGAATGCCTCACATGTGTGAAATTAAACCGTAATTACATTTGCATTGCACATTATCCTTCATACCAAACCAGTCTCCGGTCTGAAAACTCGCGGCACGCACGCTGGAACATCGGGTGCTGAGGCCGTTCATGACTTCACACTGTTAATTTACACAATTACGTGTGATTTAGCACCTGAAAGATGCCCTGACGTGACGTTAATTCGCCAGTAACGTCCGCGTTACAGCGGTGGGCGCCGCCACATGGCGCCGATCGGAGCAGCCGGGTCGGCCGGAGCCCTTCCCGGGGCCCGGTCGGTCGCGTGACACCCGGCCGTCCGTCAGCGGCTAACAAGGCGACCAGCCGCGCGGTGCCACGCCGGCCCGACCGCCGGCGGCGCCAGGCCCGCCGCGGGCCCTTCTGGCGGGATGCTCTGTCAGCGGGCCTTCCTGGGGAGCTCTCCTGGGGAACAGCTCTGTTACACGGCCTCTCCTGAGGAACGGCTCTGGTACACGGGCTGTCCTGAGGAGTGGCTCTGCTACACGCCTTTCCTGAGGAGCGGCTCTGTGACACGCCTTTCCTGAGGAGCGGGTCTGTTATATGACCTCTCCTGAGGAGCGGCTCTGTTATATGGCTTCCCCAGGAGGAGCGGCACTGTTACACAGTCTCTCCTGAGGAGTGGCTCTGTTACACGCCTCTCCTGAGGAGCGGCTCTGTTACACGGGCTGTCCTGAGGAACGGTTGTGCTATACGGCCTCTCCTGAGGAGCGGCTCTGTTACATGCTCCTCTTGAGGAGCGGCTCTGTTACACATCCTTTCCTGAGGAGCGGCTCTGTTATACGGCCTCTCCTGAGGCGTGACCCGGCAGCACGGCCTCTCCTGAAGAGCGGCTCTGTTACACAGTCTCTCCTGAGGAGTGACACTGCAGCACGGCCTCTCCTGAAGAGCGGCTCTGTTACACAGTCTCTCCTGCTATTATACTTCATCGGGGCTCCTCTGAGGGGAGGTGCTGCTACACTGCACACAGACCCGCCTGAGGAGAAGCGTCCCCACACGGCCTCTGTTAAGGAGCGGTAATCCATACCCGACATGGACTGCATTGAAAATATAGATTTACACACTATGTTTTTGTCAAATCAATACACACGAGTTCTTACAACTATAAATCACCTTGCGTGAAGGTACGCCATGAGTTCAAGCGATGCATGTAAAACATCTCTTAAGGGCATAAAACGCAAGTTCACAAAAGTGGTGCAATTTCTATACACACCCATGAATTGCAAAAATATCCAGGTCCTCCTTACCTTGTCGTTTTGGTAAGCAGTGACGGCGATGAACTGGGTTTCGTTGAATGTATACGTCCTGAAGGTGGAGTAAGGTAACTGGGCGATGCTGTTGGCTCGGACTAGGTGGAAACGCGGCTGGTACTTGTGCATCGAATTTAGCACCGTCTGCTGGAAAAAGGAGCTCATATGACATGCAACAAACTGTCAGTCATCCACTCAGGTTACCCAGCGATCAGATCGCTGTCATGTTGTCTCGTCCCATCATAGCTGCGTTCGAGTTGGCTGGACAATCTTACCGCTTCTTAACATGCAAGTGACGAATGCTGCCATTCCACGCTACCTCCAAGGGCCGCACTTCTTTGCTTAATCTCTGAAGCCACCATGGCGGGGTGATGAGCCCATCTCGTTAAGCCGCGGGCGCGTAATCGCACTCGTTCACGCCTGTTCGTCGCATCACAGCGCCTCTGGCGGCGGCCGCGTGCAGGGCCGGTCGCTTGTTACCGGCCTTTAACGACGGCCATTTCGGCCGAGCGGGCAGCCGACCACCCAGGCGCCGGCCCGCCCCGGCCGCCGCCTGTTAGTGGTTACGACCGTCGGACTCCCACCGGCGCGGCGGCGGCGGCGGCGGCGACGCTGGTGGCCGGGCGGGACGGGCGGTGCCCCTGACGGCGGGCCTGTGCGAACGGTCAGAGTTGGCGGCGCGGGCGGTGCGGTGGATGACTGACATGCCCGGCAGCGACGGATATCGCGGGATTGACGGCGTGTTGTAACGCTGGCAAAGTAACGCTAGAGGATTATTGAGTTGGGTTATGCAGGGACGTGGCGGCATGAGGCGGTGGTTAACCTATAGAAATTGCATTTTATTCGTAGACAGCCTGGACCCGATCTCCGCAGGAGCCCCGCGTCCTCCCGAAATTTTTCCCAAACCGACGTCAGTAGGAGGTGACGTCAGTGGGAGGTGACGTCAGTTGCCCGCCCACGGCCCGTCCATCGCAGCTGTCGCATATCGATTGCAAGCCAGCTGCTCTACGTGGAAGACATGGGTTGTCCGGCCGTGGGTTGCTCACGTGGGTGGTGCCGGAGGTGCTCCTCACACGCATCCAGTCGAGAAACAAGGAACAAGGTCATTAGATTAGACAGGTAAGTTCACATATTGAAAAGATTAGGTTTAGTTCTTGGTCGTGTTTCACATCAATTGCTTGAGGCACGCTTTCATCTTTCCAGCTTTTCTGCGGCCATGGATGAGGCAGACGTCATGAAATGTCGCCAACTGGGGCGCCACACGTAGCATATTGACGTTGAAGCACGGAATTGGGTGGAAGCCCAAAGACGCATTCGCTGGCAGCACCTTAAAACAAACACAGACCCTCTTTTGCCAGCACCCGGGCAATTATTCCTTGGCTGATTTACGGTCTGGATATCCCGGAGCTCTGGTTACTGACGAGAAAATGAGCGGCTTTCACCGCACATGCGCAATTACGACGAGAAATATTACGGTTAGCACTTCAAGAAGAAGTAATTGCTAATTGCTACTTAGTCCTTCCATGGCGCAAACGAGACACGACGGAAAAGGAGTCGCTCACAGAATTAATTACATTTAAGTGGCAGTGACTCGGTGGTTAGAGTCCTGATGCTGGTCATCTCAGAGCGGTCAATTGCCAGCTGACAGAAGCGTTCGAAAATGGTTAGCATGACCGCCAGACGCACAAGGTCAAGTGCGGAGCTGAGTCAACGCTCCGCTGTAGCATATGTACGCCGCAGCACGTGTACACTGCAGCATTTGTGCACTGCAGCACATGTACGCCGCAGCATGTGTGTGCCGCAGCATGTGTGCACTGCAACATATGTACGCCGCAGCATGTGTGTGCCACAGCATGTGTGCACTGCAACATATGTACGCGGCAGCAAATGTAAGCCCCGGCGTCGACAGAAAGCCTGATGCTCCACCGAAACTTCACAAAACGTCCGCTCCAGCACATTAAGTAATCGCCATTATGTTTTGGCTTAGAGAGGCACCGGCAAAGCCCAGTTTTATCGTTGGGACGATAATATGAGTAGATTGCTATGTATATGATGTCGTGAAAAACACCTTATAGTAACAATATGTGTATACATTGGCCGACATGGCCACGTCTTCAACCCTGTCATGTGGTGCCATGGCACGCAGGTTTCCCCCATGGTTTGATTCGCGTCCAGTTAGGGCCCTTTGGGTTATTGAGATCATTTCGAAACTGCAAAATCTTACAAAAGGAAAGAAGTGGGATGGAGCTAGCTCACTTTAGCTGGGTGACGAATGTCATAGGAAACTTTAGACCACCTGGGAATAAACTGTTAGAATGTCAGCACCTGGAAGTAGCATCGTAGTTCCTTGCCATCAGATGCACGCTTTCGCCGAAGTGAAAAATCACGCTGTAAAGCTTCTTCTAGCGCTGGATCTTTGAGAATAACACTACAGAACACATTTTCAAGAACCTGCCCGGGTATTTTACATGCAGCTGCACCAGACTGAGAACTTGGGGCGACTGGGCGATTTTGTCAGCGCCCGACCAACGCCAAATCGCGGTGCCGCGCGTCGAGCACATTGGCAACTCGCCTTGCGCGAGATGCGAAAGGCAGACTTTTCCAACCGCGGAAGCATAGAGTCTGTCGACCATGACTGCATGGGTACACAGGAAAGGATAGCTGCGTTTCCGGTAAGGTCGAGCCCTGGTCCTGCCCTTCCGTGCTCCTCAACATCCGATGCTTGTGCGGCGCCTCAGCCTCTCCAGGACGACATGCTGTCTTAGTCCTGCGACGATTGTTTGCTGGAGGGACCTGACCACCATCTCTTACCTGATAGTGGAGCGACGCACCGATTTGCGCTGCGTGATGTGTAAGCTGTGCATAAAGGCAACAGCTACGGGTGGCACAATAGGTGTACAGCACCGACACGTGAGTGATGTGCCGAGGCCCCTGAGACCCTGACAACCCCACTTTTCACGTGACCCGTGGCGGAACCCTGATAACGAACCGCTCCCCAGGCATGTGGGTGCGTGCTGGCCCCGATCAGTGATTCAACCAGAACGGGCGGTTCGCAGCACAAGCCTTCAAACTTTTTCTTGTGGACGAGACAATGCAGACAGGGAGCTTGCGGTTCCGTCACCTGGCCGCAGCGGCGCCCAGTCAGAGTGTGGGCGTCTGGCTCGTGACGGACAGCCACTCACGTATGCGTGACGGTCGTCTGGCTCGTGACGGACAGCCACTCATGTATCCGTGCCGGTCGTCTGGCTCGTGACGGACAGACACTCACGTATCCGTGTCAGTCGTCTGGCTCGTGACGGACAGCCACTCACGTATCCGTGACGGTCGTCTGGCTCGTGACGGACAGACACCCACGTATCCGTGACGGTCGTCTGGCTCGTGACGGACAGACACCCACGTATCCGTGACGGTCGTCTGGCTCGTGACGGACAGACACTCATGTATCCGTGACGGTCGTGTGGCTCGTGACAGACAGACACTCACGTATCCGTGACGGTCGTCTGGCTCGTGACGGACAGCCACTCACGTATCCGTTGACGGTCGTCTGGCTCGTGACGGACAGCCACTCACGTATCCGTGACGGTCGTCTGGCTCGTGACGGACAGCCACTCACGTATCCGTGACGGTCGGCGATGTTGTTGGTTAGCTTTAGCTTGTGGAAGGAGACCACCCTCCGCGTCCAGTGGTCACCGGAGGCCGGGCTGTCCGGGTGGATGTACATCCTCTTGGGCATCTCGGGGTCGGCCTTGCCGGCCACCACCCACCGACTGGGAACAGAAAGTAAGGAGGGTAGATGGCAGGTCTCGTCAGTAGACCAGGTCAACGAGGGTAGTCCCGTCGGTGGATCTAAAAAACCCCCCCCCCCCCGCAGAGGAAACATGTTTTCATGCACGGACTGAGCAAAGAACAAAAGTTAAAACCCTGATTTTCAGGTGATGACTGGCTCACAGATCAAAGTCGTGTTTATCGTGAGATTGCTTCTCGTGACGTCACTATATGTAAACGTTGAGTGTGCTCTTCCAAACACAAGCTGCAGTGGGACAAACGGTACCCAGAATTGTATGGATATCACGCAGTCGTCGAGATCTTTTCAAACATTGACTAGCCTGACAGGAGATGAATTCCCCTTAGGCAGTATCCCATATTCACATTATTGGGTGCAAGTAGCAGCCCACAAGACCCTGACAGCCACTGAGCCCTAATCCGACGATAACGACTCCGTAGGTAGCTGACCTGCTGCTGAATTTGTAGCGGCAGTTGTCGGCGGCAACGATATCCAGCAGCAGGACGTACTTGGCTTTGGGGTCCAGGCCGGTGAGCCGGAACCTCATCTGCGGGAAGATCTGCCTGGAAATGAGGGCAAGAGGCACGTGACGACCACAAAATGCGTGGGCGGAACGTCTGAGCGGCATCCGAACAATTATTCTGACCCCGCACGGCGGATGTCGTGTTTTGTCACGTTGAACATGTGCCACAATTATATAAGGAAATGCCGATAGATCAGCTCTTCAAACAGCAGGAGCTCTAAGTTACGGTGTGTAGGAGATCGGGTGTATCGAAAACAATAACCAGTTACATACAAACGTATTGCGCAGCCGAGCGACCATTAAAAAGTTTTGTTTGTGCTACACCCCATAAGGCGGCATTCTCCCCTCAGCGTCTCCCGTCGTATAAGGGGCATGCTTACTTTATGTGAGAGTGTGCACCGCGAGTCATTTATCCATATACCCGCCAGCCTATGTAATCGGGGGCCGTCCATAAGTTGCACCACGCATTTTGGCCATTTTTAGCTCCCTTTCCCTTGGGTGCGGATTGTTTACGCTGGGCGAAAAATTCACTCCCTGGTTACGCTGCGTCCGAGGCGTAACATTTCAAACAGGTAACGCCCATTGGGCCCCAAGTTGAACCAGACGTGCGAAATAAAGACGGGCTTGCTACTTGTCATAAAACGGGGCCAGTGGAATACGGCTTTTAGGTTTTAAAATATTTTGAAAAAGACATGAGCATGATTTGCAGTCCCACATGAACCTAACGTTACGACAGCGTTCCAAACGTTACCAAATCCATCGAGCATGGTGTCCAGAATGCATACAAAGTTCATGCTACCACAATCCTGGTTCTCCGGCCTCCACAAACCTGCTTTCAAAGTCCACACGCAATTTGTCGGCGCTTACCGGCTGTCATCACACCCCGAACCCTGACGTCTGACCTGTCAACCCCATTAGTCAATCCTGAGGAGCTTAGATGCTGGGTTGACCGCTGCCCAGTTCGACACTGATCGGACCATTTTGAGCAGGGGGGAGGGGGCAACCGGCAGTGAGCCCCAAGCCGGGGTTCTAATAGCAGTAACACACATCACTGTCCCTCTCACCCAAGTAGCCGAAAAATGAAAGACTGTGTTATGCTGCCCCCTCTCCCCCCCCCCCCCCCCCCGCCTCTTTGTCACTCTTCGGTTTCGCTCCATCAAAGCCCTCCAAACGTAACGTAAAATATGGACTGACCCTGTACGGACGGGGTTAGAACAATCACTCTTGACTATAACTTTCCAGAATTTTCATTTTATGATGTATTCGTTTTCATGTTTACAGCCTGTTCTGCGCATTGTTCCCCACTTTTGGCGACGAGGGGGCTTTTTTGTTGCGAATGCGACGCACGTGCGCATTATCATGTTCATTGAGTTATTTTCATGGGCTGTATGGTTCATACAATGCGCGCGTTTTACGTCTGAAGCGTGAAGAGCATCCGTGACCACATTGATGCAATTCGGGCATGAAGGTGGTAACCAGCTCATTTGAGAAATTCGGCTGCTAATTTCATCCTCAGCCGCACGTAAGCGTATAGGAACCCCAAAAATGTTCCCGCCAAAATTTACCATGTGGAGGAGTAAATGCTATGAACAAAATATCTGCGCTCTCACAAATTTCCACTCCACAGACAATTTACGGAATTGTTCTCATCGCAAATTCAGATTGGTCCGTGTTCAGTTGTTATGCCATGGCGAACATATCTCCAGACAACTCAACACATTTCTTGACAAAACATTTTGCTCCCATACCCAATGAATCTATTCGTGTTTGCTTGCCCAATTTAACGTCAAGAATCGCAGGCCGGTATTACTTTTTTCTAGTAATGATGTACACTTTCAGTTGATTAAAAATAATTTCCACTGATCTGAGGACTAATGCCTCTTTAAGTCAACATTTCAAGGAGTGACACATTTGAAGGCTATAACGTACAAATTCCCGAGTGAATGCAAGGGGCCAGTTTTCACTGTAGAGCGTGTACAACGCCACAGAAAGCGCACCTGAGGAGCAGCCAGGTCAGCCCAAGCATGCCGCGAGCAACAACAAAATCAGGTCGGAAAACAGAGGAAAGATGTCATAGCACCATCGCATTTCAAGCTAGCGTTCCAACTTAAAGTTTGTGGCGACCAGGGAAACACTATGGAGCACCCAAGGACTTGGCCACACGCGTGGCGGCGATGGCCAGCGGCGCGAGGCTTTAGTGGTGCTGGCGATCATCGAAACCTGCCTTATTCGGCGATGGCCAGCGACGCGAGGCTTTAGTGGTGCTGGCGATCAGCGAAACCTGCCTTATTCGGCGGGGCCTGAATCGCCAGGCGCCCGCCGAAGTGGAATGCTTAGAAAACGACATTGGTGCATGCGACGCTCATACGAATAGCATAATCAGATATTATAAGTTCTGGGACGAGCTATGATAAAAAAGTTTTTTTCCGAAATCTATTCATCGACGCCCGTGGTCGCAGGTGGACAAAGTCACATCTTGTTGAACGAATCATACTTTTCAAAGCGGCGAAAAGAGTGCATCGTGCAAGACTTCCATGACAATAGTAATTTCAAGTCGCAAATCTGAGCAATCGAGAAAGAAATTAAGAAAGCTAGCTTAGCAGGCCAAATCAAAGGCGCTTAGTCTTGGTATGTACGCAAACAGACAAGCTTCCCGCTGAAAGGTGGTGTTTTTCTCTGCTGTTTCCTGGAAGGTGGGCTCTTCCCATTTAATTGTACACGTGCCCAGTTGTATACATCAGATGTGCCTATCGTGTCCCCAGTGTAGATTGAATGACTTTATGGTGGCTTTTCCGTAGCCGTTCTAAACATCTCATGTTCGCATTTGAACGTGCTAATTTTCTGCAACTATTTCATAGGACTCCTTGCTCACTTCCAAAAATGCACTTTCTACATCAAGAAAATAAGTCAAGCAAGCTTGAGCGTCGCGCTCGTATATACCAAAGTGCAAGAATTGAGCCATATAAGTCACTGCCATTCATGGACGACGGCCCAGTAAGGAAAGTGCAGGCGAGGGTCCGAGCGTCTGACCTCCCCATTCAGACTGCGTGGCGAGGGGGGGGGGACCACGTCAGGTTTTCTGGGCCACCGCTTTGTCGATCGGGCAACATGGTTTGTCGATCGGGCAGGATGCACTTCTGGCGTCATGTGACAGATGCACACATATTTTTTAAGTTATTCTGTCACTGAAACACTACTAAAAGTGGTAAATACGGGGGTGATAAGCTGGCGGGACTACAGGTGGCCATGGGGGATAGCGCGTATGGCGGCATCATAAACCCTTTGAGTTCTGGCGTTCAAGTCAGGGACTTAAAAGCAAATGTCACTGAGGCTGCGTTCCCTCGGGCAGTGGCAATGGCCAGATGATGTCAGAGCCAAGCCTTCTCCCGTCTATCGCCCGACGAGGAGATCAGCTTAGCCCAAAGACTTCCGGCCTGATTTCTCGCCAATGGGCCGAAGGCACCACAGGTTTGAAAGGCGACTGGTCGAAACTAAAACCGCTGATTGAGGTTCGAGTATTTCCTGTTCTTTCCGCATTCGGTTTCTTTAGCTGCGGCGCTAGCGGCTGTCGCGGAGAGGATGAGGTTGGAGGCGGCAAACGTCTTGGTGTAGGTGGCATTCCATACCAAGCTCTTGCCGTGGACAAACGGGAATATGGTCATTCCATCGGGTCTTTTACCGCCTCCTCAGTCGACGCCAGTGGGTTCCAGCATAGATGGGATTCCTGCTGCCTATAACAAGCTTGATCACGTCATTGAGTGTTGTGTGTCTAGGCAGTCGTCCAGCACTCAAGCGTCCAAATCGGAGCGTGAAAACCCTTACCGTCCGCCTCTCAACCGCATCTGCACTTATGCGGCTGACATAATTCAACGTCTACGCGGAGGACAGTCGCGATCCTCAGCGTGTTCTGGCCCAGCTGTGTTCCAAGGTTTTCAGATCGTGCAGCCTGGAGCCAACATCGCCTTGAGATGACCGTGACTATGGCCGTGAAAAACGTTGCATGCGAAGTCACCCGTGGTCTATGCCAATGGATAAACTACGTAAGGGAGACCAAGAATCACCTCGGATTGCGCTTAAAAGGGAATTTTCACATTCGAATATAGTGAAGCAAGCATTAGATATGATGAAACAAGCTCACTTATAACTATGTGCATACTTTTTCAGTGGAAAAGGCTGCTCTAGACACCACAATTCTCTGTTTAGTAAATAAGCTCTTTTGTGCGTTATCGCTTGATAACGTCATCGTACCTTGTACAACACTGATTGAGAGCCAATTGACGGTCGATATATCTGGAAATCGTGCTCACGAACGCCAGATATGAACGATTCAGCAATTTTACTTTTCTTGGCTTTGATCACCGCATGGCTTATTGAATGGCAGGGTTAGAATGACGCTATTATGACGTTATGAATGCCGAAGTGACTTTGAAATGCTCTCCCCAATGCATCTTTCCACATTTTCGCGGACGTGTGGCTCAGCAACTAGAGGAGTTTAGGTCTCAAGGAGGGCAGGGTTGTGAACAGCCTCGAAAGGTCTCCAAGATGGGCATTTCAATTCAAAACCCCATGTAAATGTGGAACACCCTCTTTAATGAACACCTTCGTAATGAAAAAACATAATCAGAGCCTCGCGTTTTGGAGACGATTTCAAACAAAGCTTTTTTGATGCAGCTATGACCACCATATCTCTTTATGTTAAAATTCTTCGTGGATGTAAAGACGTTCACGTCATACACGCTAGCCATGCGTGCATAACCGAAAAATAACCGAATCTCAGAGAATTCGGAAAAGGAAGCCTGGACTGGACATTCAAAGGTCTTCATGGAAAGGTCTCGCACCACCAGCATTTGGCTCGCATTAGGCGTTACCAAACGTGCATCCAGCAATGCATCGCGTAGTAATTTATTTTGCCTTTGTCCTGACTGCATGTTGCATGTATGTTGCAAGGAAACAAATCACGAGAACCTGGATATATGAAGGTGTATGCGTGTAAAAAGTAACACCTAAGATGCATGCGTTAAAAAGTGTTATGTTACATGTAAACATGGAATTAGCTAATCTATGTACGAGGGGCGTTATATTTTTATTATAATAAGGAGGCTATGAATGGTTGGTGATTAAAAAAGTGCGTGCGTTTAATGTTTGACAGCGGTTTTGTCAAGCTTCGCACTCAGGAGCAGGGCCCAGCAGCGAAAGCTCGCATCCCGTATTTTCAGATGAAGTTCTGTATGCTTGGACTGGTTTCTCATAACCTTGGTATGTTCAAAGGTTTGGTTCTGCCAAAGTCTTTGTTCGGAAGCCTTTGTGGCTAATCGTCTTTGCAATGATTGCATTGGGGCTCAGCCCTCCTTATTTTGACAGAAATACATCAAATATGTCGTTAAAAACGGTGCAATCCAGCGTAAGCTAGGCTACTGGCTTAAATTCCATCGATGAGAAAATTCCGTCAGCTGCCAGCAACCCTGAACCTGACAGACAGGCAGCTGGTAGATTCGTCAGACCTTTCAAGCTGGTTCGCTAGCCAGTTCAAGGCATGTGGTTGCTGACATACTTGACGCGAAATAAAGCTGTTTATAGCTCTCACTAACATTTTTTGTTTTTAATTTAACCGAAGTAAGTGTATTTTTTCTTTTCTGTTTTTGTTTTGTTCTGTTTTGTTTTTAACGCAGGCGACGCACGTGCGCGTCTAGAGACAAGTGCGTTGTTAAAAAGATCACACGGGCGTTGTGGTCTTCAAAAGCCACATACACCACTCTGTGCCAGGAAAAACAAATTTCGGCAGGAGAGGGATGGTCTGGAGCCCCGAACTGAAAAGGAAACTGCACCTCTGATCTGTGCACATGGTCCTGCGCCGTCCATTCATTACAAAAATGTGCGTGATAGTCTCGAAATGCGGCATCCTCCCTTCAACTGTTCCATTCCCCAGCATTCAAGGAAATGCCACCGTCTCTGACCTGCCGGTCTTGGTGATGACCATCTCTGTGCCGAGCCGGTGGAACTGCCGCCAGAGTCGGCGACTCTCCAGCTGTACGCCCGGTTCGTCGCCGTCCGGCGCTGCCGGCTGCCGGTCCAGCCCGGGCGGACCGAGCGGCTGGGCCGCGGCCAGCGACGCCCAGCACCCAGCCGGCGGCGCCAGCTCCCGGGCCGGCGGCGCCAGCTCCCTGGCCGGCGGCGCCAGCTCCCTGGCCGGCGGCGCCAGCTCCCGGTCCGGCGGCGCCAGCTCCCGGGCCGGCGGCGCCAGCTCCCGGACCGGCGGCGCCAGCTCCTGAGCCGGCGGCGCCAGCTCCTGGACCGGGAGAGCCAGCTCCCTGTCCCGTGGCGCCCCGAACACCGGCAGCGGCGGCCCCAGCGCCGCCGCCCGCTCGAAACGCATAGTAGCGGCAGGCGAAACCGACAGCACGGTCTCGCGAGCCGCGATGCGCCACCGAACGCGCGCGCCTACACGCCTCGCGCAGCCAGCACTGACGGCGAAGCGGAAGCAAGGTCGCCAGCCGGCGCCATTGGTCGCGTGCAAAGCGGACCACCAATGAGAGCGCGGCTTGAGGCAGCTCCGTTGGCTCCGCCCCCCAGAGCGTCATGTAAGACTTCGGATGGCCCGGAAGCGGCCTGCGCCGTTAGGGACGCTCTGCCGCGGGCGTGGCACGTGGTGAGGGCGGAGCATATTCAGGTCACCAGGGCCTCTGTCCCTGCCAAATGTTTACATATGCGTCATTTCTCAACAAATCGACCAAGCTGCCATTCACGCTTTCCAGTTTCGATGAAATGTGTACGTGGAATAGATTTCACGTAAAATGCACCCGCCCCCACGGCTTGAAACCTCTAGATTTGCAGTACTAATGGGTCATTTTAAGTCAGTGACATATTCTAACCTTTAAGAAGTCCATGGAAGATGCATAATGCAGTTCTTGTTGCCAATGAATTCGAAATGAGCACCAGAAACTACTCTTTAGAGCTAGAGGAATAAAGCCGGCTGGTTTTGAGCTTGGTTTGCACCTGAGGCTAATTCAGTGGCATTTCAATTGTTGTGCTGCTTTAGAAAGTATCTCAGAGATATACAGCTGCATCTAACACTCAGTCGTTGTATCACATTGAACGATTCCCTAGAAATTGACTTCGCTGAATCCTTGGCCTGACTTCGACTCACCGCAGGTCAGCGACCTTAAGATGTACGTACATTTTTTATACCAAACGATCCGCTATTCAACTTTCTATGGCTATGCAAAATTTGGTGCGGCTACGCCGCGCCGTTCGGAAATCATTCCGGAAAAACCTTGGGCGTGGGGGGGGGGGGCAAATTGAGTCCCATCCGGGCGCGTGTTAAAGCACCATCAAAGGCGTATGTGTGTATGTAGGGGCTTTTCGGGTATAATATATTAAATACTTGTGTATACTCCGAGAGCAACACGACTCGAGGCTCCTACGACCAGCTGATTCGACTGACATTGATGTACCAGTTGTCAGTCATGTGTCCCAGGACTGAACGCGGCCACCCCAATCCATTCGTGACTGTTTTTGTTTTTACTTTTGCTTTTGTTTCCTTGCTGGCACTGGCATTCAAATCACATCCGGATGAGCACGCCAGCTATTTTCAATGTGCTCCTTTATCCCTCCAAGTTCTATTTGATCACAATGGACTCTCGATATCGTTAAGATGAATTGCAAGTGTGAAAATAACACTTCAGTTGCATATCTGTTAATTGAGAGCGCCGGTATAATTGCATGTGTCCGGGCGTGGACATACAGTTAGGTTGGTGAGTGTAATTATAAGCACACGTCTCGGGGTCAGCCGGTGAACAATATGACTATCGTTTTCTTCTGCTCTGGCTGCTGCGCCAGGTATGTCCATCGCTGATGAGAGCATTCTAGGGGCGCGTGTAGATACGAACAAGTGCGGTGTCAGGCAGTGTAAGGGTTTGAGGGGACTGCTTCGATTGAAGAAATCTGGCAGGCATTCCAGTGTCCACTGCAGTGCTCTGCCTATCACTGCGACATTATTCTCCATATGTTTACGAAAACGTAGCCGGACTGGGTTCGGTAGACATGAAAGCGAGTGTGCCGTCATGCATTCATTCTAGTGGCTGTTTTATGTGCACCAGTAAAAATGTGTTGACAGGAGACTTGCATTAGCTTGACGAGGTTAATCCATTCATTAAGCATTGCTTCATCCTTCCCTGCCAAACGCAACAAAAAGATCTTACAAGCCTTCCAACGATGTAAACCAAGTCACCAATCGTCGTGGCCTTGTTGGCACTGAACTAATGACTACGTATCCACTTGTATCTTTAACCCGACTCCCAGCATCCTTGAGCACAATACTTACGTTGCTAAGCCATTGATTCTTGTCAACATTTGGATTTCTGATGGAGTTTGGTATTTGAATTCATTTGCGGGCAAGGTAAGCAAAATATTTACATCCCCTGAACAGTATTTTGCAGCATCTGCCACCGATACGAAACGGTTTATGTGCATCGTATAATACTGTATGGGTATTGAGTCCCGTGTTTTATGTCACAGTTCGTTTAGATCCACTAAATAAAACCTGTTCTTATCCCACCTTTTTCTCCACCTCAGCGCGTGGTGCAAAACAAATCGATTTGAAACTTGCATGTGCCAAACAAGAGTTCACTCTCCGAATGTCAGTTCGGGTCTTCGACAAAATCGCCACAGCGGACACCGGGACCACAGACGGCCAAACTGAGCCTTTGCATGAAAACGCCATCGAAATTCATGCGACGAAAATAAGGTTTAGGTCCCTACATCCTCAGGACCTCCTTTTATTCATGAAAGGGGACTGGTGCAGCCGCATTACCCACGGCGACGCGTAATCGTCTCATTTCTGGAGCATCCTCTCGAGCCTTACGGTCAGGGGTGTAGTTCCCTATTCGGTTGGGGGACCTAGTTATTTGGGGTATCTAGCCTCCCCTCCGTCCTAGCTTTTTAACAGAATGCGAGCCAAATTTGGGAAGAAACCCATTTTCTGCATTCTGAAGGTCGTTTAGCCATTTTTCCATGCTCAGCCACCCAAAAATACTTTGTGAAACTATACCCATGATTGCAATGTCATCCTCTTGATTGTAACTTGACCTTCGTAAAAATAATGGTGAAAAGGCACCATAAAAGTTAATTAACGTACCTTGCCCACTTTTTTCAAGGGTACAACATTTTCTTCGTCGTATTTCTATCTGATGCTTGATTTCACTGAGCTAGCAGCCACAAGCCCTCAAAAGATGTAATGTTGCCCGCATTTACAAGTCCGTAATATCCGAGATCTGGAATCTGGTTGTTGTGTATAGAAATCACAGTTTACTTACTGTTACAAAGAACTTGCTTGGGAATATCTAAGGCAATAAGGTTCGGAGGCGCTCACGAAAGTTATGGCTTTCCAGATACGATGACCATGCGCCCTCAGGTATTTGAGTATCAGTGTAGATCAAAACGGGTCGACAGTTTGTATCGACTAGGTCAGCCCTTGCTCGCATAGGGATACTCATTTCCTCTGAAAAGTAGATTAGTGAAAACAATGCGTGAAATAGTATTGCATGCAATCGTTCGCATTATTTAGGGCCGAAAGCATTAAAGCTTGGTCCTTCAATCTCCATGCGCTGCGCGACTATAGATCTCGCAGCTGACACGAGGCGGAAGCTGACCAGCGAGCGAAGACGACTTTTTATAAGAAAATCATACTTTGTACGCTTCATTAAATCAGTCCATGCATGTGGGTCAAGTTTGGGGCTTAATTTTCACCCGTACAATTTTCAAATTGGAATCGAAACACAGCACAACAAACGTTTTGGTCGAATCTCTGTTGTTCATGTTGCAACTACTAATCTGTTAATATCATCAGTGCCTAGTTGGCACGAGTTAAACACATCTCCGCTATAACACTTAACATTGTTTTTCGACACACGGTCCTTCTCACACACCCACTGTCTCACATTAGCTACGGCTGCCAACGCTGCACAGTCTCCCGCGGAGACTGCAACGCCAGGAATTGGTGGCGTTGCTGCTAAAAATTTCGAGAGATTAGGCCCGAACTGTGCCATAAATATGTGTTTACTAATCGGTTCAGAAAAATAACGAGCGTCCATGGGTAAAATGAGTGAGTTGGACATGTCAACAGAATTTGATTCCGTTTCGATTAAGGTATTCTGTTGAACACCATCCAGAGACCCATTAAAAATGATACAGTCAGTAGAAATCAGATTAAAAACAAGAGACCCGAATCCAGAGAGGCCTCCTATTTGTGCAGACACTGGCGGAAAACGACGTCAAAATGGTAAATCATCAGAGCTACGACATCCGCACCCAATGCACAATATCTGAACTTCAACACACGGCACACGGTCTTATGCAAGGGGTACCACGAGACACAGGCGACTAAGCTGGAGGGTGTTGATGAAGTGTACTCAACATTAGGACCTTGGGCTAGAAAATTGCTTGCAACGAACATCTGGCAGCATGAACGTTGCGCAATGCGGATGATCGTGCAATGCTTGTGGTATTTCCTCCCACATTCGGTATGGGTTGTTGCGACTTTCCGGCTTATGCACCTGTGTTTCGTGCAGCCGTTAGCGTCCAGTACCCAATATCAGGTGTTAGAACGTGGAACTAATAAAAGACTAATAAGATGTGGTCTTAATAGCAGTGTGCACACAGATTCGAATAATTTTCTGCATTCGCCTGGCTTGGTTTAAAACGCTGCATTTAGCTTAACCGTCGTTTATCATTCGTTACTTGTTCACTTGTTCAGTGTTGAGTTGCCTCGGTTCGCCCACGACCACAGGGGCGGATCCAAAATTTCGTTAAGGGAGGGATCACGCTTCGTTGTGGTGCCCCCTGGAACTTGATTCCCCCCCTCTCACAAAATATTTCTTATTTTGGCAACTTTGTTTTCAGCTTTTTAGCTTTCAAATCGATAAGCAATCTTCCATCGGAATAGGCCTTCGGATTTAACCCACTTTACTTCAACAATTCAGCTTTCTTTTATTTGTGTCATGGTGAATTTATTTGACTGAGAGATAAGCTAGAAGTTACCAGAAGGTAGCATTCATGACGTATTTAGAAGGAAATAAAATGAAAGTAGGCAAGAATTAACTGACTGCCTGAAGTGAACAGCAGGTGTTATCCACATTACAATGGTTCGTTCACACCTTTATATTAAACACTAACAGTCAGGGACGTTGCCAGGCGCGCAGACAGAGCCTTGGCAGGGGAGAGGGTTGGAAAAGGTTGAATGGTTGAAAAAGTAACTCCCTGATGGTGGGAGGGCCCCATCCCAAACAAAATCGCCTTTGTTTGCCAATCGAGAGCCTGCCCCAGCAGATCAAAGAACTTGTCAGCCACAAGCTCGTTCAATCCGCAGGCGCATGCCTCAGACGTGGCTTCTAGCGCACGCAGCGATAGTTCTGTGTTCCTCTTGATGAAGACGCTCAACCAGTCGTTTCTGCCCTTGTACGCTTTTAGCGTGCCGGTATGCCACTGCTTTCGGAATATTCCTACGCCAAGCTGCGTACATTTGAAGGCGTTAGGCCGTGGAATACAATCTCTAGAAGTGGCATGTGATCTTTTAAGTTACCTGCTTGCGATAGTGTGCACACTCTTTCTGGGCCCCACAGCTGCTTTGAGGGGACACTTGCCAGAAAGACGACGTTTAAGAGACGTCCTGAATACTCCGTGCAAAGCAGCCGCCTCCTTTACGCTGCTCTCCCCGCTGACGACTGTGACTGCCACTTGCACACTCTCCCTGCTCCATCCTCCTCGGGTTGTCTTCCTCTCGTAGACCTGGGCCATGATGTGTGCAAACAGGAAAAGGCAAAGGACTAGGTAAAGCGATCAGACGAGGAAGCACGGGTGTCGATTTGTGTTCCTTCTGTGAGTGTCCTGCCCCCCCCCCCCCCCACATGTTGAGTTGCCCCCCCCCATGTTGCCTTGATCCCCAGTGTTTTTGGCTGGAATACTACAAAACACTTGGCTAAGATATCATCGTAACACAAAGACTATCTTATTTGATCTTTCTGCGTAGTGGCGTCTCGTACGACCCTCATAACAAAAAAGGCATAGTTGCTCTCGCCACGAGATAAAAATCGTTACAGCTGAGCGGATAAGCGATGCGATAAACTTCACACATCTAGCGCCATAAGACACGCAATGGCTTATGAGGTTAAAGTTAAAAGCTCTGGAATACAGGGACGACCAAGTCCTTCATGACTAACCCTGTCGCCATCCCCCACAACCAGAATGCGTGCCGCCTCCCATGACCGTCATAAAAAGCGCCATCGGTGCCCTAAGGTGGCCTCTAAAGGAACGCCCTCACGTGCCGATCAGAAGAGAAGCGTCCGTCTAGAGCTGCTCTCTGGATCCTGGATCCAACGCTGCATGACTTCTATACTGCTTAAATTAAAGACTTTCATAAATTATGCGAACATTGAAAACATGTCGCGTTTAATGAAAATAAAGTGGGTTAAGTCGGGTGAGGAAAACATTGGGAGGGGAGTAGATTGTTGGGCATTCGGTTCGGCCCCCTCCAATAATTTACAAAAATTGACACCCCTGCGAGGATGATAGGATATCTACATTGTAAACGACCAAGAGTCTGAGTCTGTTGCCCTCGTGAAAGCATGTGACTCGTGGGAGGGGGAGAGGAAAGTGTCATGATACCTCTTCTCATGGCACACGGCACAAGTACGATAGGTGGGTACGTCTTGGGAAACATTTCTTGGGAACAACTTTTGCACTTTGAAGACACTTTTATTCAGCCACAGAATAAAATATTCCCATGGTGGTAATGTGTGACACTATAATTCAGTTTTCTACGGACAAATTCGGCGTTATGGGTCACCGATTCGCATTCCAAATTTTGACCAGCCTGTGCCCAGGCCGCATTTTGACATCTGCCTTGTTGGGGGCAGATACCTCTCCAATGACTCAGAATGCCAACCCTTTCGTTGAATTTCGCCTTCCTATGGAAAACAATGTTGAAATGGAAGAACAACCTTAGGAAGCTGGAAGTCATATTTGCCAGACGACATAGATAAGTCGAGAACGCTAGGTTGTGTACCAGTGCGAAACAGGTGTAGATAGCTATATTGAAAGTAACCCGCGTTTCATGCCAGGCTTATAATGACGAAACCTAGCCTGAAAAGTCGAATAATATCAACGTAATCAATGTTTGCCCTAAATCGTTGCTTTGCAAGTATCTTCTGGTCATTTGAGGGTCGATAAGTCAGCTTAAGAGTTCTGGTCTCATTACGCAGTAAAAGCAGGAGGTGAAGACCTGCTCATTCTTTGCACCAGTGGTAGCGGTTTTGTCAAATGCGTTTCTATAGGTAAAATTGATTTGCGTAACGATGTTCAATGATTGCCAACATCGCAAATAGATATCATGGTGTTCAACGTATGTGCAAACAAACTGTACGAAAAGCGACTGTGAGCTATGCAATGCAACGTAAGCTAAGAAGATGTGGCGATGATGCATCTGAAGGTATCAATTTTGAGTTTGTGCAATAGTACAATGGAAGGCGCCGACACCGACCTAACAACTATAGGGCATTGGTATCGCACTGTAATATCTTGCTGCTTCATGTTTTGTAAAACGATGATCGATGTTGGGTCGCAACCGTCGCCGCCGGTACTGCCGAGCTGGGGGCGCACAGGGGGTACATCGTGTACCGCGTTGGTGCTGGCCCACGGTGCGACCTGCGTGGGCCCTGCGTGGTGCGTCTGACTTGACCAAGCTGGAGACCGCACGGTGACCCATAGGAACCCTCCCGCCCGTAGCAGGTCGGGTGGCCGCCGCAAGGCGCCAGGCCTCGCCGCCGTAGCCGGGTGCGCGCACAGCCCAGCTGGGTCTTGTACGTGACAGGATGGTGGGCATCGCAAGCAGCCGATCGGGCTGGAATCAGACCTACGGGGCAACATGATGCGAGCTGGGTCTTGTTCGGGACAGGACAGTGGGCACAGCAAACAGCCGATTGGGCTGGAATCAGGCCCACGGGACAACATGATGTGAATGTTAATACGCGATTTCATGATTCGAACGTAGTTGTGGCCCGCGTGCGTGAGCCCGGTGCCGACCGCGCGACTGCCGAGCGAGATGACTGGCTGGCGTAGTGGTTACACGCTAATGAGTCTGGCCACCTGTGCCTTAAATCTCCCAACTTTGCATTATTATTTCTACCTTTAATAGCCATTTGGGGTGCAGTTTCCTTTTCAGCTGTGGGGAAGCAGCGTTGAGAAGGGAGTAGCCTAAATCCGTCAAGAAACCCGTTTGGACCGTATCTTTGGGGCATATTAGGGCATTTTTCACCCTTCTCGGCTTCCCTCCTCAAGCTTGTCCTACGAAACTACGAACAGGCTTATCCACACTCCTGGTAACCGTACTGTTCTTACCAATTCATGCTGTTTGTGGACAATTCCATTTTCCGCAAAGTGTTACACCAACTTTATGATACCGATGTTCAGGGACGTGGAAACTGCTCAGTTGAGGGGCATACTACAAAATGCCAAAATGGGCACTCCTCTAAGACTAGGTAGTGGGCCCCCTACAAGCCCGAATGGGCTCGCTACATGTCAGAATGGCCCCAAAGGAATTGAGCCTCTAGAGATCAGAATCTGCAGTCCAGAACGGGTCCTCTGCGGTCCAGAACGGTCCTCTACAGGCCGGAATGGGTTCTATTTAGGCCAGGATGGGCTCTCCACGGTCAAGGATGGACACTCGACATGTCAGAATGGGTGCTCCACAGCCAATAATGGCTCGTTTATAGGGCAGAACAGACGTTTTGATGTTAATGATAGGCCCTCTTCATGCTCAGAAGTGCACTCTTTTGGTAAGAATGTTCCTTAATAGGCCAGGATGCGCATCGACAAGTCAGAATGGACTTTTGCTGGCTTACATCATCACTTTACTGTTCAGAATGGACCCTTCAAAGGCCCTCCAAATTATGGGGGGGGGCAACCCCCCAGCTCTCAAGTTGGAGGATTTGCTTCACTACTCCCCCCCCCCTCCCCACCCCACCCCCACCCCGGTTCCCGCATCCTTGCCAAAGTTAGCCACACGCGCACGAGACAAACAATGATCTAAAATTAACATGTATTATGAGCTCACCTTACTAGCTCCTGACGCCTTTTACACTCCAATTCTAGAAAATCAGTCTCATCGTTTTCGTGATAAAATAAATCCAATCATTTAACAGTCAATAGCTACATCAACCCGCAAAAGCAGAATGTCCCAATGACGTCACCTAATGGACTCGACTTCATGCAGCCTGAACACGCGTCCAACTGACCGCAATGCAAACCTTGGGCGCTGGCGGCAAGCAGGACGAAAAACAGTTGTTCTGTTGCCTCAGCCGGGAAAGCGGGAGGCCCGGCGGGAGCGCGCGGGTACTTTCCCGTGAAGCATTGGCGGGGTGGGACGTGTGTCGTGAAAGTGCTACAGGCTTGAAGAAGTTAAATATCACACATAAGTGAGAAGGAAGTAAGTATTTGTGTGCTTGTCAGTGATCTCCAAGCTAAGAAAATATTCAGCCATAAGACTTTGTGCTCCGGCACGCAGCTGTTCTTAACCTTAGTTTAGGCCGGGTGCGGAATGCCTCCCTTAAGAGAGGTAGGTGGTAATTTCCCGCCAGTAAGAACCGTATTATCATCAGTGTCAGCTACGGCTATCAAATGTGCATTAGATGATGGTATGTATTGTTATGTTACCATTCCGGTATGCTTATGATGTGTAGGTACTAATATTAGACATAACTATGTCCAACCTGTGTGGGGAACCGTGTACCCTCTGTATTTTGTCAAAAGATGAGTCAATATGTATGTAGGTAAAGCAAGTCATGTCCTGATAGTAGTCTAAAAAATTATGATATGCATACATTAGAAAGGAATGGAAAGCACAATGCTTATTGTTATTGACCAATACTTCTCTAATGACTTTCACCCACACTATGTGGTGCACAGCTTATGGTTCTATGGAGAGCACCTCTTACCAAGTACAAAGAGTACAAAACCAAACAAACAAAGCAACTAGAAGCTTTGAATTGTGGAAGCATTCATAATATCAAAGGCCACACTGGCAACCTTTAATCTCATAGCATTCCAAGAAAAAAATCAATAGTGAGTCATGTTAACAGCACTAGGTTGTGAGGCAGGCAAGCAAATGGCTCATTTTTTGGGATAGAGAAAATCCAGCAAGAGACTGTTTTTCTGATGTGGAGGATACCCATTCTTGTATATGGGCGATGGTCAACAGGTTTCATGATTAGGGACCTAGGTTGACTGTGCACAGGGGCAAAACTCAGATAAATATTAGGTCACTTAGTGGCAACCTGTGTTTCTTTAACACTTTGTAACCGTGTCATTGTGAGGTCTGAAAAGAGAGAAAGGTGGGGCAATGACATGACAAACTCTCATTGCTAGCAAAGGTATTGATGGTGATAGTCAGTGGTTCGTGTGTTGCACTACAACTTTATTAAATGGTTGTTTTCTAAACTTTCCAGCAATATTTAATTGACATTAATATAATCCATAAGTTTAAATGATATGATATCAAACAAGTACTATGAACCCTCCACTGTCAGTTTTGTGACTTTTTCGTGGAATGTGCCCCCATTCAAAGAACATAATGTGGAATTCATTGCTGTTTTAACCAGCTACTGCTACATCATCGCTGTCATCCAAGTTCCAACACATACTTCTCGCGTTGCAGACGGCGCCGCAATGGCTGGGGCGGAGTCAACCGGCTGTGGTGACGGCGGCGCCGGCCGGAAGCACATCCCTGTCGTAGTCGTCTCGCTGCTGCTGGACCTGCTCTCATTCACCATGATCCTGCCTCTGCTGCCGGCGCTGCTCGACTACTACGAACAGCACGACACGAGTGGCACCTACCCGCTGGTGGTGGGGCGCGTGCGCGCCTTCCAGGCGGCCATCGGCGCGCCCGACCGCTTCACGCCCGTACTGCTGGGCGGCGCGCTCGGCTCGCTCTTCTCCCTGCTGCAGTTCCTGACGGCGCCGGTCACCGGTCGGCTCTCGGACGTGTACGGCCGGCGGCCCGTGCTGCTGCTCTGCCTCGCCGGCATCGCCGGCTCCTACGTGCTCTGGTACCGCGCCGCCAGCTTCCCCGTGTTCGTGGCGGCGCGCGTGGCGGGCGGCCTCAGCAAGGGCAACGTCAACCTGTCGTCGGCGATCGTGACGGACGTGACGGAGCGTGAGACGCGCGGCCGCGGCATGGCCTGGCTAGGCGTCGCCTTCTCGCTGGGCTTCATCATCGGCCCCATGATGGGCGCCGTGTTCGCCGCCACGTTCGGCCGCGGCGGCGGCGCTGAGCTCTACCAGGCGCCTGCGCTGCTCGCCATCGTGCTCTCGTCCGCCAACGTGCTGTTCGTGTACGCGGCGCTGCCGGAGAGCCTGCCGGCCGCGCGGCGCAGCCAGCGCGCCGGCGCGCGCGACTCTCTGCTCGACTACATCAACCCGGCCGCCCTGCTGCGTTTCCAACTGGTGCGCTGCGCCGACGCGGCGCAGCAGGCGGCACTGCGCCGCATCGGCCTCGTATACTTTCTCTACCTCTTCATCTTTTCCGGCGTCGAGTTCACGCTCAGCTTCCACTGTCACACGCGTTTCCATTACACATCCATGCAGCAGGGCTACATGTTCCTCTACATGGGCGTGGTGATGGCGCTGGTGCAGGGCGGCTACGTGCGTCGCATCTCCGAGGCGCGTATGGAGCGCACAGCCGTGGTCGGCGTGGCGCTCCTGCTGCCCTCGTTCCTGGCCGTCGCCTTCTCATACTCGCAGGCCGGCCTGTATGTGGGCTTCACGCTGTACGCGCTCTCCACGGCCGTCTGCGTGCCCTGCATGTCGACAGTGGCGGCGCGCTACGGCGGCCAGCACCAGAAGGGCGCCGTCACGGGCGTGTTCCGCTCGCTCGGCGCCCTGGCGCGCGCGCTCGGACCCGTGCTCTTCAGCACGGTCTTCTGGCTGACGGGCGCCACCGTCTGCTACGTCGCGGCCGCCGTCGCCATGCTGGTGCCGCTCATCATGCTGGCCCGCTTCCAGCCGCCCAAGACGGAGAGCCAGATGTCCTGAGCGCAGGAGTCTGGTGAGGTAGGGGACGCGGAGGAGTCCACTGGAGACGCTAGATAGGGTTTGCCGCATCGAACCGCAGCCCAGCCCGATCCCGTCCGTCTGGCTAGACCTGGACCGCGGAATTTTGTCCGAAACAGAGCTGTTTCGATTGCTTGGGGCTCGCTGTCCAGGGTGGTCACACCTGCTGGGGTAGCACGGTAAACGGCGCGCTTGTGTCATTCCGTGAAAATGGCATGTGGTTGGAGCGACGGCATGCTACATCATATGGTAGCCCCTGAGAAGGTATTGGGTTCCGGGTTAACGCTTCGCTGTTTGTCCTTTCTAATCAAGCAAATTGTCAGCAGGCGCCCCTGCTATGGGTACTTTAATACGTCGTGAAGCTTTTGGTATGAAATGACGTGTTACCCGATGCACATCAATAATCCGCATTCCGTACTCAAGTGATATTGCATGCTGCTCTGTGTAGGTTAGACGATTCCACTGAACCCGTATTTTTCTGATGTTACCTTTCCAACTGACGGCTTCTAGTGCTATGTCGTGGGGCGAGAGTTCTCACTCTCAGAGAGGGGGGGGGGGGGGGGGGGTGCATTTACCGGGTGTTGCATAAGACATTGCGTAACTCCCATTCTCTGGTGCGACCAGTGTAAAACGGAGCCAGCTGAATTTTTCTCGGGCGGGGGTCACGATTCACAGCAGCGTGGGCTTGGTGAGAGGGGGCTGCGTGGCCTCTGGTCAGCCGGTGATTCCAAAGCTTGGCAGCACCACTTTGGTGTGGCAAGGGGACACATGAGGAACGCTCCTACGGCGCCGCCCCACTAACCACACACTCGGGTGTGTGGTCAGTGGGGACGAGACAGTTTGATGGCGTGCCATGACAGGGCTTGGTAATGGCAATCGCATGCTTGCATTTGTGGGTTCAGTCCGTGTTGGTTTCGAACTTAGCGGCCCTGTGCAATGTGGTGTGCTTGGCTCCCCTTTGAAGGCTTACGTTGTAACAATATCACAAATAACACCGTGGTTCTGGTGCGCTCGTGACTAATAAGGTTTTGTCTCCAGTTCATCTTTGCCCGAGTAGGTAACTAAAGTATTTGTGGTATTGTTTTTGGTCGGATACCTGTCCTGTTGTCACGCGCATTTGCGTGCTGGATCCGCTCAGCTGCTAAGATATGACGCTCAAGCGGACAGGTTCTCTCGCAGCCGGACACACACATATTATCTGACTGTTGTGGGTCATTTTCTACATGTTTACACATGAGAAACCAAGTTTCGCGTGGATGAGCCCGTTCATGACGGCTGTATTACGCGTGCAGCCAATAGGCTAGCATGTTTAACGACTGGGGTGGCCACGGAGAAGGGAACTGGGAATAGTCACATAGATTTTGGATTGTAGATCGGTTCAAGTGGCTCGTAGAACACTGGCGTAAGCAGGAAGTGCACAACGATCTTTCCCACAGAGAAAGAAGCAAATCATTTCCAATGCATTTTGCAACGACAGAGGTGAGAATCTGTGAGTCTGCCGTTAGTGGGGCGCGGAATGGCATCACAGCCGATAATTTTTATGGAATGAATTAGCTGAATCACATTCCTCGAATGAAGACGATGTTCAGATCTCCTTGCCGCGTTTGCTTGCGTGTTCCTCGGTATTCAGCGCGGGCCTAGCGTCGTATGCATATTGGTTGTCGGCCCGACAGTGCGGGTGTTCCCCCGGTACGGTGTTCCCTCGTGCCTTGCAGTTTCCTCTAAACAGGGCCGGTCGACGTTTTGCTGCTTCATTGCGTGAGTCCAGACAGAAACCATTCGACTTCAGTGCAGCTTAACTGAATGGTACAAGTGTACCTTGGAATGCATTTGCCTTTTCCCAACGCATCCTATGTTGCGACTGCAGAGTGATGCCTGTTCTTGTTCGTGCATAACTGGATAATTAAATATATTGAATTTGACCAGTTTAGCTTGTGAGTTCGGGTTGCGGTCTTGTCTGATATGGTTGTACCGCTGTTTTTGAGGTCTTTGTGTTCATGTGTAGAATAAGTCTTTCAGACAAGATTCGGTGAGGCGTTTTTGCAATTCGAGTTATGTGATCTTCAGACCTAACATTTTTTTTTATTTTCGGAAATACAGCCTTCTCCACAAATCACTTCTTTCAGAACATGCTCCGGCAGCCGGCCTGGCACACACTTGCGCACACAGATGCTTTGAAAATCCCACCGCATCGCCGGCTGGGTCCACCACTTGGACACAGTCGGAAGCAGCTGCACGTGCAGTGCGAGAGTCGATGGGAGGACACCTGCGCCGTGCTGACTGTGACAATCTGTCACACGGTTCGCCCGCCCCTGGCGTGCGCCCCAGCTGGGACCAGAGGCGTGGCGACCTCCGCGGTGCGCCGGAACGGGGCTGATGTCTCGAGCTCGACACCGCGTTACGGATTCTTTCTACTCTGTACTGCGGTTGTCTTCGAATGCAGAAGGCTGAGGCGTCACACCCCACGTCTTCCAATGCAGAAGGCTGAGGCGACACACCCCACGTCTCCGAATGCAGAAGGCTGAGGCGTCACACCCCACGTCTTCGAAAGCAGAAGGCTGACGCGTCACACCCCACGTCTTCGAATGCAGAAGGCTGACGCGTCGCGCCCCAAGCCGAGTTTGGGGCTGCCATATCTAAAGTTCGTGACCTTCAACAGGCGTCGCACCGGGCCAGTACGCGACATTACGGCCGCTTGCACGATTCCGACAGTGTTCTCGTAACCTTGTATTGTGTAACTAACTACTAGTTACGCAACGCAATACAACTGGCGTTGTATTTCGTAAGCCCAAATTAGCATTATGGTGTTCGGATATGACAGCAAGGTGGCCACATCGGTCTTTGAATGTACATGATGGTGTAACATGACCTTCCAAACAGCCTCCCTACGCTAAAATACTGAACGATTTTGAGTGTGTGGAATCAGCTCCCTACTCCCCAAATCGATCCGGACTGTGGGCATGGAGTAATCCGCGTGACTTAGTTCTCGAACCAATCCGAAGTTTTGCGGGCTGCACAAGCACAGACTGCAGGCCACCCAACAACCTGCGTTGTCGCGCTGTCCTTTCGCTTCCCCTTGTGGCGACATCCAGGCCTGCATCCGCTCTCGACGCGAGTTTAGCCCCGACCCACCATCCTAGCGGTTTTGGAAACATGTGCAAAACTCCAGCAGGACGTGGCGTCTGTATTTCAACACACGGACACGGTGAAACGGAAGAAACAGGCACGAGGGTGCACACAATGTCTTTCTGAGTTTGCCGTACCCACTCTCTTCGCCCCCTTCCGCGTGGCTGCTCGACCCTGAATAATGTGGCGGCCGTCCACCAGGTCACTAGACTGGTAAAAGGTCTGGTGCGGCGTGACATGTGACGTGATAACGCGACTTCATAGTTTGTAATTAACCGAAAACACACCTCCCGTGCGCATGTCTCGGCACTTCTGGCACTGCACTGGGATAGGAAGGCCTATTTTTCGTAAGTACGCCGGCGCTGGCCATGGCCATGGCCACCTTCATATGCAGTCGACAAAACGAGCAACCACTTTTTGGAATGATTATCTTGAGCAGATTAGTGATCCCCGGCAGTACCGTTCGGTACACTTTTAAGTCTGGAGATTACCACGACCGCTTTGCATGTAGCTAACTGATATGTTCCCGCGAAATTATACACGAGAGTAACTGAGTTAACAACGTCGGGAGCGCTCAGCAAGCGCGCCCTTATGTTCTCCACACCAACCCCTTTTTCACGTGATTCACACCCTCCACCTGGACGCCGCCCACGCAGCTTTGCGATTACCGACCCACGCGGGAACCCCTGGGGGCAACATGGTGGTTATCCCAAGATATACGGTCCCGAGCTCCAGACATTTTGCCGGCTCACGCTGCAGTTTTCCCATCCATCCATCCACGTGCCAGTCACCAAGGTACTCAGCTCCCCAGGCAGCGGGTAGCGACTTTCCCCCTGCGGACCGTTCTCCGGCTGCAGGCCGCGTTCCGACTGTTTTGCATCATTGTATGACTTCCAACTCTGTGAGTAATGCACACTTGACTTTGCGAAAACGGTTGTGGTCTGAGCGGCCCGACCTGAGCGCGGCTCGGCGCCCTTTCCAAGTGGCCGTGCCAAGGCAAACGGCACGTAGTACAAAGTCCAGACTCCGGGGTCGTGCGTCGAGCCGGTCACGGGCTGGAGGGCGCCACGGTCAGGACAGGGTGGCGGTAACCTCGGAGTTGGACGTTGGACGGCAGAGGTGCGGCGAGGGAAGAGAGGCGCGTCCACGCGCGGAGGCGGGCACGAGAGCTCCGCGTCGGCCAAGCCTCTCGGGGGGTGGAGGCTCACGGCGTGCGAGACCGAGTCGGATCGGACGGGATCTGGGGACAGGCCGGCACGAGGAGCGTGTCAAACCCCGACGGCCACGGGGGCCAACTGTTTCAAGCCCGCTGCTACTGACCAACCACCGCCGCAAAACAAACACAACCGACGCCGACGAAGGTCCGCAACGGCCGGAACGTACCCACAGATAGGGTTGCAGGCGCACAGGCCGCCATCCGCGCGGCTTACTCGACAAACATCCGCCAGTCCGGCCGACCGTTAGGCCGCAAACAACGAGCCCGGCAATACGCCACACCCGCACCACTGCTTGTCACACATCACAGCACAGCACACGGCAAACGGGACGGTAACAATAAATAAACTACGCCACTGATTAACGGTATCACACCGCGGTGCGCCCGCCGCGCACGGGAGGCACTGCCGGCGGGACATGCTTACTGACACAGTTAGCCACCACTAATAACAATAAGGCACAGTGCAGGGAAAGCGTCGACTTTCTTCAGCCGTCAGACAGCGGCACCTGGAGACACAGGGCCGATCAGAACAGGGCTGTTGGTGGTGGTAAGCGAAAGCTGCGGGGCGTGCGGAAAGGTAACTCGATACACGTGACGGACACAATAAAGAGCTGATTGCCGAGCTGAACGGGCCGCTCCTCCACAAAAATGTGAGTATCAGGCCACTGCATTAAAGTATCACTTTGATGACAACTATCTTTGCACATAAAGAAACAAAATCGGGACTTATATTTGTCCCGTGAGATTTTAATGTTAAGCAAGTGATCCGTATGGCGGCAACTGATACAGGTTTACATTGAGCAGAACCAACAGGTCTGCTAGCATTGATCGCTATTCCATACACGACAAGAACGCAAATACGGACATTTGGCATACTGACGGGGAACGAGACCCACAATAGCCACCGCAAAGGTAACCCCCACCCACCCACCAATCATAAAACCTTCACGACGAGCCCCCCCCCCCTCCCCCCTCCCCTCCGCAGACGAGGCATAGCCTAGTCCAGGTCGTCTAACATATCCCACATCTCATCTCCGGACTGAGCCGGGGTCGGCCTGCCGCTGGCTGTGACCACCGCAGGTGGCTGGCCGGGGGGCGCCGCGCGAGCTCGGAGTCTCACCTTGTCACCGGGTGTGAGGGTGTAGCGCGACCGGTTGCGGACCAGGGTGCACAGCAGCATGCACACAGCCATCACCATCAGAAAGACGCTGGTGCAGCTGAGGTGGGCGTACACCCGCTCCCGGTCCACCTGTGGCGACCGCCGTGGCGTCAGCCGGCGGAAGAGGCGCCGCCACAACGGCACGGGATTTCCACACACATATACACAGCACAGATTGTCCTGACCCGGCCTGTCCACTCGGCTTATCAGGAATGCCAAAGCTCGCCGTGGAAAACGTTTTACAGAGCTCAGGTAGCTTCGCGGGCACGGTGTTAAGTGTTATTCTCGCTTCCTCAGTGTGACGTCATCCGAGCTTCGTCGGGTGCCGTCTCGACGTAACCGCGCGCACCCCGTGCTCGTTGCCGGTCGGCGCCAGGTTCAGCAGCAGCCGTGCTCGCCCCCGCCGAGGCAGTGGGCTGCCGCGCCGCACCAGCCAACCCGCACCATCGGCGCCGGTCATGTCGGGCCTGCCGCCACCCGTGCCCGTGGGCGAGTCGGAGCCACTCGACAACGACTTCCAGCAGCCGGTGTCGGCCGAGAACAACTACGACGACGGCGCCCTGCATCCGAACCAGGTGGCTGTGCTGGAGCGCCACCTGGCCGCGCTGCGCCGCGACAACGAGGCGTACCTGGCGCAGCACGCAGAGCTCAAGCAGCTCGTCTCCGACTTCATCGCCAAAATCGTCGACGAGCAGCCGGACGACGTGCGCGATTTCGCCGCGCAGTTTTTCGCGGGGGTGAATCAGCGCAGGAAAAAGGAGGCCGCTGATGACGCCAAGCAGGACTAACCCCGACAACGTAAGGCGAAATCACGCTAATGGAACGAAAGGCCATGGATGCCCCACGCTACTCAGCAGAGCGCGGCGAGTTCTGGTGGTGCCTGCCTGGTAGCGTATCAGTGGATGTTGGATGACAATAAATAATAATATGGGTTACTTAAAAATAAGTCATGTCATGACCTCAGCTACAGACCACCGCACGGCTAACGACAGAATAACCCACATCGCGTTGCACTCACTGTACTACCGTCGTCGCAAGGGAGACATGGTCGCGGTGCACGAAATGAAACGTCCCATGGGGGCATGCCGCTGTCGTTGGGAGAGTTCCTGACGATATCCACTTCGGAAGTGACGAAAAGACACCAATGAAAGCTGAAAACCTCTAAGCTGGGACTCTCGTCCGTCGATATCGACTCTCTTACGTCAATCGCTGGAATGCCTTCACATCTGCAGTGGTATCGACAACCTCAGTTGAGCAGTTCAAATAGATTCTATTCACAATGGGCTGACATCACGCACGACATCCCACACCGATGACGTCACTAATTTGAGGCTGTTCGGCTACCTGAACGGGAGCTGGGAGGGAGCAGGAACGACAGGCCAAGTGGCCTAATAAATTCCCGATCACCACAAGGTAAGCTAAGGTAAGGCAACTTCAGAAAGCCGTCGCGCAGCAAAATACCACACCTACCACCAAAAGAGCGGACAAAGCCCTGATTTAACCTGTTTGCCAATATACCAAACCGTCAAACCGCTAGACGAAACAGAATTACTTTCTCGGCTTAAGCACTCACGCTAAGCAGTGCTTGTTGCGTGAGGCATGACCACGCCATCCGATCGTAAGTTCCCCGGTCAAATCAGATTCAGGTCAAACCACATTATTTTCACAAGTTGGCGCCACGTTCAAGCCAATTTGGATCCAAATGCTTCGGGTTTGCGGGGGCTTCGAACTGTGTTTCCCTCTTCCCCTTCCCATAAGCCTTAACGGGATCAGGGACATGACTCCATGGCCCATTCGGATACGTCCCTGTAAAAAGCAGTTGCAAACCAGACAGTCGTTCAAGAGAAAAAAACTGTAAAGCACGCTGCCGTCGTATCTCATCTCTTTTGTCACCGGAGGCCTGATTATCATGGTTCAACGATGCGTGCAACCATTGGTCAGCGAAATACGCCGAGAGACGACAAGGCCAAAACATGTCATGGCATGAGAGCCCAAGACGAAGGCTGAGAAAGTAAAAACCTTACTGGCATCAGCACAGACAACAAAGCTCAATTTCCCCCAGATGTCACTGCCTCCGAAGGCTGTCCACCAGCCGCGACCCAGTCGGCAGCCGCGCGCGCGCGCCGACGCACACCCCGGCTCCAGCCCTCTCACCATGGACAGCGTGAGCTCCCAAGCGGGCGCTGCCGTGTACTTGAGCCGGTAGCGCGGCGCGCCGGCGGCGCATGCACCGTCGGATGTCAGCCCCAGCGAGCCGGGGCCGGCGGCGGCTGAGGCGTCGCAGGCGGGGGGCGCAGTCCGGCCGGGCCGCGGCAGGCCGGCTGCCGGCCCGGTCACGCGCACACAGAGCAGCACGGCGCCGCCGGCTGTCGCCGTCATCGGCTCCAAGCTGACGTTGAGGCCGGCCGGACGCGACTCCTCTGCGGCGGCACACGGTCACGTCACGCCGGGTCACGCCACCAGCGGTGGTGTTCCGCTGGTGTGTTACGGCCGCACCTCTGGGACAGGACGCAGCGGTCTAACGCCATGTTACAACATCGCGATAGAGGTGATGTGTTTTATTCGAAGGACCCAGGTCAAGCCACATGCCCGTTACAGCACAAATCTCTAGATGGCCTCTCTCTCCTTCACCATATAACCCCAACTTACAATTCAACAGGCCGTGGCAGCCACAACAACCCCTGTCAATCCTCCCCTGATGCCAGCCGGGCGGTACAACAAGCCGGCGCAGGGCGGCCTGGCACCACCTTGCACCTACCCAGCGTGAGCACGGAGGCGTTGGCCGCCAGGTGCTGCGCCCCGACCGCCGGCAGCAGCAGGGAGACGCCCACCAGGTGGTCGGGGGTCGTGGCATTGGCGGAGGGCGCGGCCGGCGCCGCGTGCGGGCAGAAGCCGTGCCGCTCCATGTCGCCGAGGAACGCGTTCCACGACTGCGGCGCGGGAGACGGAGTCAGTGAGGTCGAAGTGAGCTCCGCGGGGCTAGCAGAGCAGTGAGTGTAGGCCGAGTACGATCGCCACGTGACCTGACGCACTTCATTGAGGCTGGTCAGCTGACAGGATGCAGGCAATGACCTCCTGTGGGTCATGCAATGTACCAAGAAGTGATGCTGCAGAAATATCTGCACAAAACTACAACACAAAACCAAGACATACAAATGTATGAAGTGAGAGCTTACCAAAGAATCCCTGTCCAGAATGTCTTCAGTGTTGTACACATACGCACCCAAAACAAATGTTACCCCACTTAATGTTATGAGGCATGCTACAAACAGTATGAGCGGTGGCCAGTTGACCACTGTGTTTCTCAAAGCAATCCAAATCTTGGATGTGCTTGCCATCCTTTGCCAGGTCTGTATCAAACCTGGGGACAATGTGACAAGCGGTGAGCTACACACAATATTGCAATGCTAATCCACAGACATAAAGCTTGGAAGCAAACATGCAATATATAACAACCAAGCTATACTGCTTGCATGTTACAAAATTGACAAAATAGACCAAAACCATTTTGAATTTAGTTAAAAGCAGCTAGCAATTACTAATAACAGTGGATCTATTTTACAATGCACATAACTTTTTCAGTCATTGGAATTGCATCTTATCTACCATGACCACATGAACCATGATACTGTTGGTAGTAAATGTTCAGCCCACACCCTCGCCAAAATGCATCCACCACATAACAACTGAGCTCTGGTTTTCCTCACCAAAGACAGCTACCATAAATTATGCTCTTGTCCTTGACAGGCATGGCTGGTGACCTGTGGCAGCAGCCGTGCTAAAGGTGGGGTGATATCAGAGGGCAGGATAACCATTCGGCGTATCACAGCACATTCAACTTTTGTGGCAAAATTCTTTCATTGAGTTGGAATTGTGTGATTGGATGGTGGGGTAAAGGCAAACATAACAAACACTGCTCAGTGTAAGCTCTGATTGCAGAAATCCATCCAATCAAAATGGTATGCATGAACTTTTTAAAAGTGTTGTCCAGAAAGCATGCAGGTTTGTATGACTTAAACAAACCTTTTTTTGCCATCATTAAGCTCTAACACATAAAATGGGTTTGTGCAACAATGATCCCTCATAGACAAAAACTCTAACAACATACTCTACAATAGCTTCTAGTATACTGCCTTGCTGTAACATATAACTAGAGCTTATTGAAGCAAAATGATGCATGATCAGCCAGAGAAAAAGAGAGTTGAACATCTATTTTATTGGGTCCAAAGAAGTAGTAAGTGTCACAACACCTATCAAAAGGGAATTTACACAATTTTGACCATGGCTTAACAAAGGCTTCATGATCCTCTTTAGCAAGGAGCTATTTACATATAAATTTGGGCTTTATTTAAAACAAAAGAAGCATGTAACAATTTTGTGCTCTGAATTGCTTGTCTGGCATCTCACTTCAAAAGGACATAGAAGTTACTCAGACATACTTGCCCCTTCAATTATCATGTTCCTTGTTAGTCAAAGGGTCCAACAAAAAAACAACACCATATGATTTCATGATAGTAGGTCTGCCTTATCCATACATATATTAAGTGTTACTTGTTCTGCCTGCAAGACCTAAAACAAAGTAGACATGCACCTTCCGCTATTTACCAGATATAAGCTCAAGTTAAGGTGAAGATGAAGTGTCAAAATATCAATACATTATGCACTAATATTCTGTATTGCAATTCATTTTAGGTAAAACTCCTAACAGCCAGATAATTAAATAGTGTCTTTATATTTCCTATGATAATCATACTCTAATCATGACACTATCATGTTTTTCACATGTTCCTAAGAACAATCTGAAGTAAATTACCCCTGATCACTCCTTTCTTTGTGTTGATTGCATCAGCAGTGAGTGTCAACATTTTAAGTGATGATCATTTTTAAGACCACATGCAACATGCTACCATCCTGTTATAATGCAATCATTATTGGTGATAGCACTGTCAGCTTTCAAATAGAAGTGCCACATGACTTGCTTTAGAAGTGTGGGGCAAGATGCAACCACTGCTGAACCACCCTATACTAATAGTTACATTGAAAACAGTGGGAGAAGGTATTCTCAGAGATGAGCAATACCATTTTAAGAAAGATGCTGCCTAGTTTAACCACACTGGTAACAGCTACACCTGTGTGCCCACACTTAAGTGCACTGTGTTGACTTAAGCCAACTGATATTTTACTACTATATGCAGAGTACCACCACAGAGGACAGACAGTAAAACACACCTATTATACTTAAAGGCATTTGGCAGAGCAGCATCCAAGCAATGTCAGCACACCACTGGTAAGGTAAAAAGGTTGGTAAAATCTGAGACCTGAGTTATGTGCTGTCACTACCATTCCAGTCTGCAAACACTTCATTCACTGCACAGGACAGGAAGCCCATGCATCACTGGTACACTTAACCTTGCACCCACATGCAAAACACACAAGCCCAAACTGCACTGAGTCTTCATGCACACAACATCCTTGTCAACAAATGTTTGCTGCAGCATGTTGCTTCCTAAAATAACCTTTGGAAGTGCACAACTCCTTTCAGTGTCGAATCTACCCGCTGAATGTGGTGCAGGCACTGCACCAAACTAAAAGCACCCGAATTTAATATCCACAATACCTACCTCTAACTGGAAGTCGCGCATTTCAAGCCAAACCGCCTCAAACTGCGCCTATGATTCTGTTAGTCCGCGTCGTTGCAGTCGTCAATAGGGCACAAACACTCTAAATTGCAATGCTCGGAATATGTAGTCTCATTCAGCCATCAAAATGGACATCTATCTTAGGTCCGTTCACAGATTCATCGCAACGAACACCAGATACCAATCGGCCGCGGTTATCCACTGGCTTCTGCCTTCAACACCCCCAACCCGTTGACGTCAGCGGTATGACACCGTGGCCTAGTCTACTTTACACATCTAGAGCGAACAAAAATATGTTTAAAGAATCCAATTCCTTACTTAGATTTCCGCTGGCTATAAGAAATACATGTTCAAAAATATTACATAGTGTGAAAAAACAATTTAAATGCCAAATGAAATCTTAACGAACACAAACTTTGCATCAGGGCTATTCCGTAAACACGACAGAAATCATACGCACGGTTCTTACATAGCCATTGCTAGGTATGGTGTAAATTAGTGGCCGCGTTCGAACTGCCGTCAGCACGTTTCTTAGCACCAATCACGGCCCAGTATTTGTCCTACGTCACGTCACGTGACTATAAAATCACGTTGCCTGTGACGTCATGCACCGGCTGACGATGATGTCAGGATTTTTTGTCAGCCCGTCAGCATGACGAAAAAACGCTGCCAGATGAAAAATCACTTTGAAGCGGGAGTTTTATTGGTAGTTCTTGCGTTCGCGAGTATGTTGGGTCGGGTGGGCCACTTGTCTCTCATTTAAGGAGGGGGTGGGGGGGGGGGGAATGCGACGTTAATATAAATAAGGAGGGAATTGAAATGCCGAGAGTAAACGTGAAAAGGTGAGGGGCAGTGATAAGCGTGGTGTGTGGCCGCGCTGCCCATTAAGTGAATAGCGTTATAAGTTAACACATAAGGTGAGAGGGAAGGAATTCTAATAAATCACAAATAGGAAGAAGCACTCAACGTATGGATGGGATAGATGATGGCAATACCGAAGTAGAAGCTATACTTTCAAACGCCCCCTTGTACGTGTACTTGAACGCACACGTTATAATGAAGGGAAGGCCAATGTCCTCCGTAAATTCTTCGCTAGTGTTTTCACGGACGAAGATATTAGTGCAATGCCTGTATTGCCGTGCAACCTAACTGAACCGTTTCTGCATGGCATGGACATGTCTGCCCAGGCAGTAGCAAATAAATTGGGTGCTCTGAGCACCTCAAGCGGCCCTGGGCCAGATGATGTCCACCCAAGGCTTTTTCGTGAGTCCGCTGACGTCCTGGCAGTACCACTTAGCATGCTTTTCCGAAAATCTTTGGCATCCGGAAGGCTCTCCCAGGAGTGGAAGCTTGGTGAGGTAGCTCCCGATCTTTAAGATAGTTAACCGACAGTCCCCAGCGAGCTGCCCAGTGACCCTTACTGCCATTCCCTTCCAAGATACTCGAAACTTTCGTCCGTGATGCCCTACTTTATCATTTCTCTGAGTCTGGACTTCTTCATGCAGCCCAGCATGGGCTTCTCCCAAAGCGGTCCCAGATCGGTAGAGCACGTGAGGTATAGAGGTTAGAAATGTCCACTAGCCAGTCTCGGCTCTTGTCTCTCTTTGCCGTAGTAAACACCGTTCGATGTTCAAATGTTCGTATTCACTGTCTTTGCACACACAATTACGTCTCTTCACACAATCGCTGTCTGTCCACCCACTGTCTTTCCCGTCTCAGCTCGCCAACACAAGAACGAAATGTCCCCACCGCTCGACAGTTCGCAGCGCACCTCCCCACCTCAGCTCCCTCTCGCCACTCTTCCCGGGCGTGGCATGGCTCCGCTGCGCCGGGCGTCCCCCCGCCCGTCGCCTCCCCGGCGTCAGGTTTCAGTGGGGAAGGGCTGGCGCCGGCTCCGCGACGGCCGCTGACCCCATCCTGGACCGCACCACATGCACTGTGCTGTACATACATAACACGCCTCCGTACATCACATCACAGCATGGAGAACCAGTGGACGTGGCGTACCTGGACTTGAGCAATTATGTGCTGCATAACCGTCTACTCTCCAAGCTTCATGCTTTTGGTGTGAGAGGTAATCTGCTACGCTGGATCAGGGCTTTCCTTACCCACCGGATACAGAGAGTGCGGGTCCAGGGCTCGAAGTCGGACTGGACCAACGTTGTCAGCGGCATCCCGCAAGGATCAGTGCTTGAAACAACGCTGTTTATAATCGTCGTGAACGATCTGCCAGAACAAGTGCGAAGCGTGGTCAAAATGTTCGCGGATGAGTCCAAGGTTTACTGTCTTGTCCCGAGGCCTCCTGACTCACTCACCTCTGCAGGTTGACCTCCACACCCTGGCCAAGTGGTTAAAGCAGAGGCTGCTCCCCTTAAGTGCAGCGAAGTGCAAAATAATGCATATCGAGAACTGGAACCCGAGGCTGACCTACTTCTTGGACGGCGCAGAAATCGCGGTCGAATCCACCGAGAAGGACCACGGGGTCTTCGTGGATTACAGACTCAAGCTCCACTTGCAGACGGTGGAAGCGATCTCCAAGGCCAACCAGATGCTGGAGTTCGTGAGGCGGTCTTTTGCCAGCATCGATGTTCGCACGTCATCATTGCTCTTAACGATCTTAGTACGTCCGTATGACAACGTCATCTGGGGCTGTTCGGCAAACTGGACCAGAAGCGGCTGGAGCGGGTTCAGCGATGAGCTACCCGTCTCGTCTATGAAGTGAAGCACCAGCCACACCCTGAGAGGCTCAGACTCTTCCAGTTGTCCTCGCTGTACTACCGTCGTCGCAGGGGAGACATGGTAACTGTGTACCAGCTGTTTCACGGAGGTATGTCGCTGTCGGAAGAGAAGTTTCTGACAAGGTACAGCTCGGAGGTAACATGAGGACACCAATGGAAGCTGACAAAACCTCGAGCTAGGACTCTCGTCCGTCGTAACCCGTTCAGCACGCGGGTCGTCAACGATTGGAACGCTCTTCTACAACCGGTCGTGTCGTAAACCTCAGATGAGCGGTTCAAGTCTAGTCTTGATACGCACCGGGCTCATATCATTTATGGCACCCCACACTGAATCTACCCATAATTTGAGACTGTTTGGTTACCGGACCGGGAGCCTGACGAGACCGGGACCTACAGGCCTAGTGGTCTTTTACAGTTCCTGATCACCATAAGGTAAGGTAAGGCAAGGTTGTACGTGCCCGTGAAGTTAGCGATTTATTCAGCGATTTTTTCAGCGACGAGTTCTGATTTCCCTGAAAAACGGTTTCAAGGTCAACTGTGGCATGACAACACCAAAAATGATTCTCATTTTGCAATATCATGTAACCTTCAAGATCAAACACGGGCTCAAAGGTCGGGAAACTCCATATCAACAAAAAAATCACCGGCCGATTTTCAACACATAAACATCAGAATATTGACCATAGAAAGAACTAGCGTCTGTCAAAAAGTCCCTACCTCTCAAGATGACCCTTCAATGTCAAACGCCGGCACCAAAAGACGGGGAACTCAATATTACCCAAAAATTACCCGCTGATTCTTAACTTACAAGCATCAGAATATTCACCACAGAAAAAAGTGGCGTCCGTCCAAAAGTCCTGACCTCTCAAGGTGACCTTTCAACGTCAAACACAGGATCAAAGGACGGGGAACTCCATATTACCCAAATATTTCCGGCCGATTTTAACTTACAAACGTCAGAATGTTCACCACAGAAAAAACTAGCGTCCGTCCAAAAGTCTTGACCTCTCAAGGTCACTCTTTAAGGTCAAACGCGGGCTTAAAGCACGGGGAATTCCATATCACCCGAAAATTACGGGCAATTTTTACCTCACAAGGATAAAAACATTCACCATAGAAAGAGCAGCGTCCGTCAAAAAGTCCCGACCTCTCAAGGTCACCCTTGCAGGCTAGACGCGGGCTCAAAGGACAGGGAACTCTATATCATCTAAAGATCACCGGCCGATTTTTAACTTACAAATATTAGAATACTCACCACAGAAAAAACTAGCGTCCGTCCAAAAGTTTTAAGTTTAAAATCAGCCGGTAAGTTATGGGCGATATAGAGTTCCCCGTCCTTTGAGCCGACGTTTGACCTTGAAGGATGACCTTGAGAGGTCAGGACTTTTTAACAGACGCCAGTTCTTTCTGTGGTGAACATCCTGTTGTTTGAAAGTTTAAAATCGGCTTCTAATTTTTGGGTGATATGGAGTTCCCCGTGCTTTGAGGCAGAGTTTGGCTTCGAATAATGACCTTCAGAGGTCAGGACTTTTTGACGGACGCTAACTCTTTCGGTGGGGAATGTTTTGATCTTTGTAAGTTAAAAATCGGCTGGTAATTTTTTGTTGATATGAAGTTCCTCGTCCCTTGAGCCTGCGTTTGACCTCGAGGGGTGACCCTGAAAGATCAGGACTTTTTGACGGACGTTAGCCCTTTTTGTAATAAATGTTCTGATGTTTGTAAGTTAACAATCGGCCGGTAATTTTGGGTAATATGAAGTTCCCCGTTATTTGAGCCCGCGTTTGACCTTGAAGGATGACCTTGAGAGGTCAGGACTTTCTGACGTACACTAGCTCTTTCTCTAGTGATTGTTTTGATGTATTTAGACTTAAAATCGGCGGGTATTTTTTGGGTAATATGGAGTTCCCCGTCCTTGGAGCCCGCGTTTAACCTTGAAAGGTGACCTTCAGAGGTCAGCTTTTTGACGAACGCTAGCTCTCTCTGTGGTGAATGGTCTGATCTTTGTAAAATAAAAATCGGCCGGTAATTTTTGGGTGATATGGAGCTCCCCGTCCTTGAGCCCGTTTTTTTACCTTGAAGGGTAACCTTGAGAAGTCAGGACTTTTGGACGGATGCTGTTTTTTCTGTGGTAAATATTCTGACGTTTGCAAGCTGAAAATCGACCGGCAATTATTGGGTGATATCGAGCTCCCCGTCCTTTGACCCAGCTCTTGACCTTGAAGGACACATGATATTGCCAAATGAGGGTCATTTTTGGTGTTCTCACGCCACAATTGACCTTGCAACCGTTTGTCAGGGAAATCGGAACTCGTCACCGAAAAAATCGCTGAATAAGTCGCTAACTTCACGGACATAGGTTGTACGTAGTGTGTCATGGTTGGCAGTAAGCCAGAATGAGTGTGTAGTCTGAAGAAAAGGCAGAGGAAGAAGGGAAAGTAAAGTTTAAAAAACTTTCCGTCAGCCTACACATCACATCGAACACGCTTATCGAACGCGCCGTCGGCACACAGGGCGTCACGCGTTCCAGCTGACAATCGTGCCGACGACGGACAGAACGGGGCCGTGGACTCCTGCTCCGAGGAAAAGCCGTGCCTGGCGTTGTGCCTGTTCAAGTATTAACGAAGTTTGTGTATATTCTCTCGGATGAGTTTGGCGTAATTTTGGTGCACCCTGGTGGTGAGTCATCAGAGCTACCATGGTTAGGAACGTATATCCCAAGTTTATTGCTCGCACGGTCCTAGTGAAGGATGGCAAGGTTGACGACGCATTCAAGCTACTGAATAGGTGGGTAATTGCTTTCCCTAGAATCTGCTGTTCTTAATGTGTCTGCCCTGAAATGATTTTTCTGGTAATAGAACATATTTGTAACACCTAAATGTTTCCCAAAAGCCGATACCTAAGATACCAATACAACTTTTTGAATAATTGTCCCTTTTCATACACCAGCCTGTATCAAGATTCCTATAGGTAAAGGTGGGCATAGATACCTTATGCTACAAGAAGCTTTGAATGTAAACTGTTTTCTTTAAGGTGGAAATATTATAAATAATGATGGAACAGGGCTGATGGCTGACAGGCTTATGAAACATCATTAGCACTTGTCCTTAATGCTGTGGCCCACCACTTTGTAGTAAATGTTCATAGATGTGATTCATGGGATTTACTTAATGTGCTTTGTCAATGGTAATAGGCAGGTGGCTAGTAACCATGTAATTGGTTCTGGTTGCAGCCACAGTCAATGTGGTCACTCATATTTCTGTTAAACTGAGATGGCATTAATTCCTTTGAACTTGTCAGCCACAGCCAAAGCTGAGCAAACCAAATACTGGGTCAACTAAAAAAGAAGAAGCATCCTGATAAGTGTATAATGTATTTGATTCTGTACAGATATGAACAGTCATATGGAGACACCTTGGTATTAAAATCAATGCACTGCTTAACATGATATGGACATCCCCACATGATTGGTTATGGCAAAATGTTTCCACTTAGAGTAAGCTTTGCAGAATGAGTTTTTGGACTGAGCCACATTTCTGGAAGTCCTAATCAAAGTTAACTCAATGCTCTGCTGAGCTCCTTGACTCTGAGGTGTTAGAGTCAAGGGATGCCATTAAAGCAGAATCAAGCATGGGTGCATATTGGCCAAAATTGTCTGGCTAGTACTATTTAAGGATGTCTTGGAACCACACAGTATACAAAAATATTGAATGTTTCAGGAAATATTCCTCAGAAACTGGCATTGCTTCACTGGGCTGACTGGGTCAAGGTCCTTACAGTGAGTTTTGATAACAAGGGCTCTGATCACAAAGCTGCCCAAGCCAGGGCCATCACTTCCTATAGATGGTTGGGGACCACAAACATTCTGCTGAAGTTGTGCTGTTTGAGCCCATTTCCCCAGTTATGAATGTGAATCTGATGCCAAAACTGGTATTTGTCAGGGACTTAGACTTTTGAGTTCTTCAAAACCATTCTCCTGGTCTCTGCAAGGTGTTTGGTCATGCATCTCCAACAAGCTAAATCTTGCAACAGATCGGCATTGTTATCAGTTCTGGGTTTTGCCTTGCCTCAAGCCTGATAGTATGCTTTGTAACCTATTGTCTTCACAGGATCATGGGCCAGGAGGGATATCTGGAACAATTCCGGCGAACCAGGTTTTACGAGAAGCCATCACAGGTATGTATTTCTTTAACAATGCTTACTATGTTGTTTCATGTTCTGACCTTCCATATCCCCACTAATGCTTATGATAGCTGTATTTAAACAAATTAAGCCCTGGGAAGCATGTTGATGGGCAATGGGAGTCCTCAAAAGTTAGGTGGTGGTGTGGGTCGTGACCATTTTTTTGACCACTTCTTTCCAAGCAGAACCCATAAGCACATATAGTTAATGTTAAACTTTCAGAAGTCAGGAGGACTGAGCAGCTGCTCTAGCTCCTTAGTTACTGCAACCTCTGGCTATATTTTAAAAAAATTAAACTGATTTCTTGATCTATTGACATTCCAGTCAAGTAGTCAGTTGGTTGCCTGTATTGTATGCCAGAATATTCCTTGTTTTTAGTTGTTATACCCATCCATGCTTCAAGCACCTTCACATTGTTCTATCCTGCTAGTGACACCTAGACACTGCAGCACCCAGTTACTGTGTGTAGCACACTACACACTCTGCATGTAAATCAAAGCTGGTATCACAAATGCTTTCCTCTGGTGGCATTGTAGTCCCAAATAAGCATGTAATCCTTCTGAGTTGCCAGTGTATTCATCTCATCAATAAAGACCCATCTCAGAGGTGGTCATGTTCCAATGTAAGAAAAGGCCTGAACTGTGGGCAGCCACTCTGGAGGTTCCAGTTGATCACAATATGGTAAAGTTATCCATGATTTGGCATGAGTAAGGTGGTGAGCTTGCTTGGATGTTTGCAGCGAGCCATTTAAAGATGACCCCACTGTGATCCCAGCGCAAGTGAGTCACAGTTAATGTTATCCAAGCCCACAAAATAGCATTGCCTGTTGTGTGAAAGTGGCCGTTGGCCCGCCTCGAAGTGGTCTGAGCCGTGGTATCGCTGGGCTCCGGTCTGTCAGCTAGGCGCAGCCCAGAGATCTCGGTCGTGCCGGGCAGCGTCATGACGCGGCTGTCCGCAGTCAGTGGGGTGACCACCAGTGCCCGGGAGGCGCGCTCGCCTTTCGGTGGGAGTCGAGTTCTGTGCTCGTCACGCACCTGCGTTGTTCACCCAGTGGTCCGTCCATACGGATTTATGTGTTATGGGGTTGTCCAACGGTGTTACGTGCGGGATTCTTCAAGGTCCAATATCAACGCCACCCGGCTTCAGAGGGCTCATGGGGTCATCCATCGTGATTTTTCGCGCCGAGGAAGTGTAGTCTTGTGGATCCACAGTCCAAGTTTATAGGAATGCCTATCAGCCGTCCCCATGCTTCCGTCAGCTGGTGCCTTTACCCCGTCTTGTCCTCGCCCGGCCATGTTGAATATGATGCATCAGATGGCTCTCAAACAGCTGTTTGAACCTGTGCAATGTTACATGCAACGATAGAGATCCCTCAGACCTTTGTTACTGGCAGGACCGGAGCAGAATTATGCCATAGCGCGGTTGGCAGGGCCATGGCGTGCTGTCCCCACAGCAAGCATGGTTTTTCGTAAATTGCCCGTATGTATGCCGCCTTGCTGGGGATGCTGGCGCTGGTGTGGGCCAGCGCCGCATCGGCTCGCGGGTACACCAGCCCGTGTCGAAGCTGTCGTGAGAACACCGGCACCCTCGGGACCTCGGCCCATACCGCACTACCAGTCAGTGCGCGATGACCAACCACAAGACGACTAACGTCGGAATCCAGCTGTTTAACGCTGGAGTCTGTTCATGTTGGGTTGCACAAAATCTGGTCATGTCTCGGCCCAGTGGTCAGGAACTTGTGGTCTTGTAAACTACTGGGAGAGACTGGGCTGGCTGCAGGCCCAGCCGACTTGCCCCCCCCCCCCCCCTCCCCCCCCCGAGGTTTTTTGTGGGCGGTGGTCTCGGCGGTTCTTGGTCGTGGTGGGCGGTGATCTTGGTGGTCACGGCGGGCAAGAGTCGGATGGCGTTTCCTGCTCGCTGCGAGCACGCTATGCACCAGCACCGAAGCCCGCCGGCGCCATGTGCTGCACGTTTGCTGCAGTTGGAGGGCGTCCTCGTTACATGACCGCCCGAGCCCGCCTTTCCAGGGCGCCTCGCTCTGCATGTACCGCGGAAGGCCGCACGATGGCCGGGGTTCCAGGCGGGATACAGCTGTCGCTGGCCGCCGGGCCTGCCTGTTCACGCGTGGGATACGGGCGCGGCGTGGATCGCGCAAGCGCGACCACGGCCTCTCCATGCTGGGGTATATTTGTACCCTCCTGTGATTCGACCTGGCTTGTAATGGCTGTCATGCTGTACGACCAAAAGCGCACATGTGTGATACAGCCTGCGCTTTTCTTTCCCTCAGTTTCGGCGGCGGATCAACTTCGAGAAGTGCAAGGCGATCTACCACGAGGACATGGACAGAAAACTGCAGTTTCTGATGCGCAAGAATCGTTTGACACCGTGGGTGGGGTGTGAATGAGTGACTGGAAGCGGCGGCGTGTAGCCCACAGTTCGTCGGATTGGTGTGTTTTGTACGTTGTGTTTTGCTGTTGATATTCTGAATGACTGATCCATTCTCGCTACATCCGAAAAACACGGTTTCAAAACGGACGCTTCTATTCATTCAACCCGTCAAATGCTCTAAACGATAACATCCTACAACAATACAGCCTCACGAATAGGTTCTAGTCACTAAGATGCTGGCGGCGACTCAATAAAACTTCGTGTATAAGTCGTACGAGCGTGTCCGCGCATCAGGAGACTTAACTCAAACTCAGCGGCAGTGCAGGCGCGAGCCACGCGCACTTGACACAAGTTTATAACCGTCCAAGCAAACTGTGCAAATGCGAACGTAACACAACCAGGCACTGAATGCAAATCACTGTCAAAGCATCAATAGATGTCAGGTACCTAACGCGGTCCGGCTATCACACGTCTACGCTCGTGGCCAGAACACGGCGATTGATGGGCGATCACAACGCGACGGACAGCGGCCTCAATGGGCGGGCCGGCCGGCACGCGGTGCGGCGAGGCGCCGGCGCCCCGTCCCGCCAGGCACTGAGTGGCGCACTCGGCTACACAGACAGACCCCGCCGCACGGGGACGGGGCGGCGAGGGCGGCACGCGCCGCCGTAACAGCCCAGGTGACAACCCAAACATACCCAGGGGAAGATCTCCGGAGTAGCGGTGCCGTCCCGGCCCGGCCGGCGCGCGGAGGCCTCCCGCGTGCGGTGCCCGATCAGCTGGCCACGTTGTAGTGCCTGTCGTCCTCGGCCACCAGCGTGAGCAGCGGCCGCCCGCCCGCAGCCGACTCGCCGTCCGGGTAGAACGTCACAAAATCTGACTGCGCATGCGCGCCGGGCCGGATGACGCGCAGCGTCACGCCCAGCGTGTGGCCCAGGAGGAACATCTCGATCTGCGGGCGCGGCGGGCGGTCAGCGCCCTCCTGCGGCGGCGGCGGAATGACCGTCGAACATGCTCGGGCGGCACACTCCACTGGACCGTGCCGGGCATCACGCGGTGACGGGTGCTCGGCAGAACACTGCAGCTGCGCGGCCGCCCGGCTAGCAGCTACAGAAGACAGATGGCTCAGACCCCCGGCACCAGTGCTCAGGGGCCCCAAAACCAGGCCCCGCGGGCGCACAGCTGCTCCGGCTGCCGCTGGGCCGCGCCGCAAAAGAGCATACCGCTAATAAAGAGGCGCGGTGATGGTGTTAGGTGGATTGTAAGCGAATCCAGTGCTGATCTGTCACGTATATTGCTCGATCATTAAGATGGGGCTGCAAAGCTAGGAATGCAGCTGTTGCGCGAGGTTGTAGGGCCTCGTTTGAGATAACCAGCACACAGTTCATGCCCGCCTTGGTCAGCATCTCCATGCCAATACTCAGAGTCATCCAGTACGGGGCTTTGCAGGTCCCGCCAGATGTGCTCAGACGCTGGCCACGTCCACGCTCGGTCACCAGCCGTCCATTCCGACAAGCTCCGGATGGGGACCTCGGACGTGCACCCACCCACGGGTACCCGCCACCTCACGCAGTGCTCTGTTGACCACTTACTTCGCGAACATCCCTCCAAGCCAGCTGCGAACCCGGCAGACGGCCGTTAACGGAGGGCGGCGCGGGGCGGCCAGCCACATGCGCGAAGGGGACACGACGGGACGGGACTGGGCGCGCTGGGGCGTTACAGGGCGCCCCACTCACCTGCTCCAGGCCGCCGGAGTCGCCCACCAGGTTCAGGTGGTTGGCCATTAGGTCGCGCGGCGTCGCGGACGTGTCGCGCGCGAACAGCAGCGTGGCGAACAGCGGCACCGTCTGTCGGCGGAGGGCGGGAGCCTCGGTTCACACGGCAGTCCAGCCGGCTGCCGCAGCGGCACCGGGGCACACGCGCTACGCTTGTCGGTCGGAGCCGGTATACTTCACGAAGGGCGCAGTCAAAATGATTTATTTTAGCCATTCCGTTAGCTGGACGGAACCGATTTTGCCACTGGGCTTATCAGAGGTTTTACAGTACTTAAAAACATGAACAATTTTCAAGCCAATGGTCATTCTGTTCCTGTAGTTATTCCGCTAGTACCCCTGAAGTGACCCCAAATGATCGAATACTTGGTTGTCAAAGACATTGCCAATCTTCTTAGCTGGCTCAGTCCCGCCTCAGGGCAACACCAAAACGCAGCCGGGGGCAGAATACACCGCAAACAAAGGTGCAGCATGACTGCACAGTCGCACCGGCTGGAGGTCCCATCCAGCCAGACGGCAGACGGACGCGGCTCGGCGCGCCGCTGTCGCGCGGGGACCGTGCGCCGTACCTGTAGCGCGCTCTGGTCACGCTCCAGCTGAACGGCGGCAGCCAGCATGTGCAGCTTGACCGCCTCCATGCAGCGCAGGTCCAGGTCCGGGTCAGAGTTCCATTGCTGGCGCAAATGGCGACCCGCGCCCTCCGCGCCTTTCAGCTCCTCCCCCTGGCGGCGCAGGGATGGGTGCTGCTCGCATGGGCGGCATATGCAGGGCAGGGCCACCCTGAACATCCCACCCCAGTTATTAGGTGTTCACATACAAGGTGTGCGACTTCACTTTGCTCCTATAGTTCATGCGTTATTTCATCCAAAACCACTCTGTGTATTTAGGGCCGCACCATGATTAAAGCCGCACTGGTTCGTTTGCAAGTTTACGAACCAGCGAGAGTGACAGCCAGGAAACAGCATGAACTTTGAGCAATCAAAAGTGCATGCTCTCAGATCGACAACATGCATTGTCAGCTGCACATCAGCTCTGACTCACCAACGAGGACAACGCATTCAGGCAGTCCTGCATGCCGCTCCGCGCCGTGCTGATGTCATAGGGCAGCCGCGAACCGAAGCTCCACGCCGTGACCCAACTGCCCGCCGTCTCCAACAGGCGGCGACATCTGTTGGCGTTCGGTGGAGGCAGACCTTTGGAGAGCAGCTGATAGAGCGCAGCGCGGACAGCGCAGTAGTTGTCGCCGCGTACCCGCTGGATGTGCGTGAGGTGGTACTTGGTCGCCATCTCCTCGTAACCCTGCATAACAACATGAACACGAGGTGAGCCGCGGTCTCGGGGATACCACGGCAGCTACAGAGACGTGTTCTAAGGCTCCAGGTGGATCTTTGCGCTCCCATAAGTATTTACATTGCATGAATCGATGCACTCGATGGAACTGCTTTAGCCAACACTCATAAAACAATGCTCAGACGTCGTGTGGAGGCGCACAAACTGCAGCGCGATAACCAAAATTCCGACGCGAGGCCTCGGCTGGGGGGCGCCTGACCTGTCGGATGGTGACGGCGCGCGGCGTGGTGCCGCGCCACTCCTGCTGGGCGTACTGCAGCAGGTCCATGGCCTCGCCGACGGACTCGAGCGCGGCGCGCGCCGCCAGCGTGTCCAGGCCGTCGTCCCAGTAGGCCGAGTCGCGGTTGGCGCGCCGCTCGCAGCTGTTGCCGTTCAGCCGGTCGGCCGAGCCGGACACGGCCGAGTCTGAGCTGAGCGCGCCCGACTCCCTGCGCACACACGCACCAGGGGGCAGCGGGTGAGGTGAGGAGGCCGACCAGCGCACTCCCGTCTACACGGTCGGGGGGGGGGGGGACGACCTAACTCCGCCGCAATATGGGCAGGGTGTCACATGGCAGTGGTCATACCCTGTAGGGGAGGACGGTGGTCGAGGCCCAACACAGGAGCGGGGGGGGGGAGGGGGGAGGAGAATCAATGGGTGTGAGTCAGATATGAAAGCGAGGGGAAGGTGAGGACTCGGACTAAACCCTGCAGGCGGAGGGAAAAGGGAAACTTAAACAGGTATCATAACGTTGCGATACCTGGCAGCCGGAAGGGTCAGAGACAGGAGAAGGGTCGGCGAGTCAGACCTCTGTCGCGAGGGGAGATGGGGAGATGAGGCACCCGCATTCTCACAGATGGAAGGCCAAGTATGAGGGGCAGGTCGCACAGGCCTTCCATGGTTCACTTCGTTTTTAAACGCCGGAGGCATGCCGCAAAATCGGGCTGGATACTCCAGCCAAGCAGGAGGGAAACAGAGGACCGCAAAAATAGCTTGAGTGGATGCCGGCGTCTTCACAGAATGGTGGAAAAATAATGGCCCAGGCATTGGACCCAGATTCTATCCCGGAAATAGGGGCGGTCGGTGCCGGCTTCCGTTGTTTGGCAGGCAGACAACGGGCGCAACGTGCGCCAGGACGCACAGCGATGCGGCTGGCACGGTGCCAGAGGAACACGGGTGGGCTTCACCGGCTGACTCGCGGCTCGGTCACAGCACACCGACAGAGACGGCCACGGCACTCCCACATAGTGCTCTGCGCGGTATGAACACCCGACGGGTTATACTGGTGCCGGGATTACCCACGTAGTGCTCTGCGCGGTCTGAACACCTGATGAGTTACTGATGTACTACTGATGAGAGTACTGATGCCAGGATTACTCTGATCACCCCCTGGCCATCGCCATGCAAGGGCAGAAGTCAACCGGCCGACGTCATATTCTTATGGTCACGTCACACATCATAATACAAACTCATCATGCGAAACTGTTCTTACATGCGGTTTCAAGTGACGCAGTCGTCACAATCGTGACACACCGGCGATCAGGGCAGTGCCGGGCCGCGTCTGGCGGCGCCGTGTCGTACTCACGCGGGGAACTCGGCCACGGGCGAGAGCGGGGTCCTCAGCAGGAGGCTCGAGCTGTCCATGCCCTCGTAGCCGGACTCGGTGAGCGGGTCGGCGGCCGGTGACTGCTCGCGGCTCAGAGCCAGCCTGCGGTCACCGGTCAGACTCGGGTCAGAGCGGCCGGGCGCCGGCCGAGCGCGGCGGTGCACACCGGCACCAGAGCGGCCGGGCGGAACAGGAGCGGAGCGGAACGTGAACTGATACAGCCTACCATAGCCGGTCGGCCGATCTGGTATTAACATAACGGGTGTGTTCCCAGCGACTCGGACCGACGAATAATTTATGCCGACGACGTCACACATGACGTCACCGTGACGTCACGTAGAAGCTTTGCTGGGCGCGCGAAATCTTTTCCTATCTCTCAAATTGTCAAACCGAGACTTGTTGGTAGCTGCCGAGGCCCTGATGCCTTCCATGCGTTTCGAAATCGTGAGCGCGATATCTAAAACAGCCGCAACGCGATAACGGTAGTTGTAAAGGTGACTGAGGTGATTGAAGGACATTGGTGCTGTCTGGCCTCGGCAAAAACTACGGGAATTCCGCAATCCTAAACGCGTGATCAAGACCATGAAGGTCACGCGCGCATTCAAAACGTTCCACAGAATCCGTAGGTAGAGGCGAGCTATCGGCGGAAACGGCACATGCGCTTCGTGCCCTCGGTGATCCGCATTCTTCTCGGCGACATCTGGATTGTCAAGGACTTCAGGCTGCACAGACATAGCTCACGGTCATTGCAGTTTTCAGAGCATTACCCAGCCGGCTGGAGGAAAGGTCGGCTTGTTCTTTTGACGTCTTGTGGAGGGCTCTACGTACACGAACTGCGCTGTTTATGAGATCGCACAACGCCAAATTGGTTTGACATGGCTGTCATGGATTACGAGCCACAAGTTCAGAGTTAGCTCTTACTTGTTTCCATGGAACCCTGGAACTTCGTAGCTGTCAACATTAAGTCAAGTACATATTGGTACATGCCATACATCTGGCATGAACAGGGCACGTGCGCCCAAGGGCGCACTGCTATATGCACACGACCCTGCTTTCTTAAAGTCGGGGGGCTGGAGCGCTTTCCCCAAATGCATGGGAAGTCCACATCCCTGGACTAAAAGGAGTGTCCAAATTTCGTTGGGGCTCTGAACTGAAATGGCCATCTTGAGGATCATTGTTCACATCCCTGCCCTTCGTAAGGCCTGAACCATTCCAGTTTATGAGCTACACGCCCGCCAAGACGTGCAGACTCTTCGGGTAGACAATTTCCCAGTCACCCAGGCATCCAGGACACCACAACAGCGGCATTGAAATCCTGTCATTATATTGGCCATGCGACGATCAAGGCCAATAAAAATATAATTGTGGAGTCGTTCATATCTGGCGTCAATGAATACGATTTTTAAGATGTAATGAGCGACAGTTGGATCTCAACCAATGCTGTGCAGGGAACAATGACGTAATCAAACAGTGGCCTGTTGAGGAGTACATTTAATACACGGATAAATTGTGTTGTCTGAAGCAGTCCTTTCCACTTAACAATATACCAATAGTTATAGGCGAGCTTATTTCATCATATATGATATTTCCTTCAACCTTTGCAAAAATGGAACATTCCCTCTACGCGCACCAGTATTGACCACATTGTGAATGCCATGAAAAGTTTGGCATATGTATGTGGTCAGTAGTGCCTCTTTAACTATATCTAAAACTGTTTTAAAGGATGGTAAAGCAAAGACGACACACACAAACACACACACACACACACACGCACGCACGCACGCACGCACGCACGCACGCACGCACGCACGCACGCACGCACGCCACGCACACATCTATGTTTACTATAATATCGCATGTGAAACACCCCGGAAAGCATGAAGTGAAATATTTATGGCAAGGACAGCAGTCAATAGCACTATTTATACGGTTTCCAACATTTCGATACATTGCGTATCATCGATACGCAATATCAGGTATCAGTATCAGGACGGCACAATATCAGGTATAAGTATCAGGTTTAGGTATCAGGTATAAGTATCAGGTCAGTATCACGTGTAAGTATCAGGACGAGTACAATGGTACAAGTTCAGCCAAGTTACAATGAAATATTAGATCATTCAGACGACATGGCGCGACATGACAGCGGTGACGATTGCACAAATGAACACGACCTCTCTGCGCATAAACAGAGCCGATCGAAAAAAATCACACGACAAAATATCCTTTTGACTCCGTGTGAAAAGGCTACCTTATAATTTACGAAGGATGTGCAGATCCCATGATATGCAATGGCGGCTTTTATTGGTGAATATGAAGTTATTCTAAAATCCTAAGATCAAGATAATTGCTGCAACGTCCTAATAAGAAAAACGGAAAAGTTTTCAATGTTAAAGTGAGTGCCACACACAACTGAATGCTTTCGGATGGACGAAGGGTCTGGGGTAGCCAAAATGCTACCTGTGCCGTCAGACCTTCCCAAATGTTGCTGCACTCCTGCAACGCAAATTACGAAGGGTCAAACCCACTTAAGATACTCCACACGAAGCACAACATTTACAAATGAATGCAGACAACATTTTGGAAGCTTGTCTTTTAAATTAAAGAAGGATCCAACGGTAAAAAGTTTACTTATATGATTCTAGGGGACAGAAAAGTGCAGAGGTCTTGTAGCAGATTTGCAAGCCCATTTTTCAGTTCCATCGACTCTTTCCCAAAATATGGCAACACGAAATATTCATCTCGCCTTAGAACTTCACGAACAGTGGGAACTTTGGCATATTTCACATCCAAGAAGGAGCCCTATTAAAATATTAATTATTGCAAGTTGGAAGCCGTTTCCCTGAAAAAAAATGATCTGAGCCGATCAAGTTCGGAACAAAAGTGCTTATAGAACTAAAACGGAAAGCTTTGTCAATAGCTGTTTTCACACCAAATAGCTTAAAAGCGTCGGGAATGAATCAGGAAAAGCTCAGTTCTAGACCAGTGAACGTGGGGTCTCTATAGACAGAGGTTTCAAATTTACCTTGTGATTTTCGAGCTCGGGACAGCAAGGAAAGGCAAGGGGACAACATCATCATCCTCCCTAGTTAACTTTTTGTTAGAATGTTGGACGTTAAGATAAGTAAGACATTGATCAATATGTGACCTGTGCCGAAAAAAACAGGAAGGAGTCGTCAACATATCACTGATAGAATGCTGGTCGAAAGTCAGGGGGGCAGTTGCACAGCCAAAATGCATCACAATGACATCATTCACCACAAACAAGACATTCACCGCCCTGTTTTCACCAATTCAACGGTCGGACATTGTGTCACTTCTGTGGTCACGTTCGCGTTCCGCTTACGCCCCGTTCAGAGATAACCCAAATCCATATCTCCAAGGTCGCCCATTCCCACCGAACAGCGCAGGTCTCCGTGGTACCGTCGCGTCCCGGTCCACACTGCGAACGTAACGACGCCAGCGTGGACCGTTCCGCCATAATGTTTTTTTTCTCTATTTCGGGCCCGCTTCGTCTACGTTCTGTTCACGTTCCGCTCGTCCTCGCTCTCGGTACAGGCCAGCCTCAGTGGCCGCCTTCTGCCCGTAACGGGTGGTATCTACAAAACGATTTCTCTACAGACCAGGAATGCGAACGTTTCCGTGAAGCTCTCTGGGAAACTAGAGGGCTTCACGAATGGAACTATTTATGACTTTTTACAGCCGTGGAAAACACACTGAGACGAAAAGCCGAATCAGCTTAAACCCTCGTCGAGCCGGCCATAACAGACCCCGGCTGCCCCCTGCATACAACATGCAAGTAATACCCCGCGGGCCCCGCCCCCGGCACGGAGTCGCGCGCAGCCCAGCTGACCGGGCCGGCGATCGATGGCAGCCGTCTGCGGGCGGCCGTCCTCGGTACTCACGTGAGCGAGCCTTGGCGGCTGGCCGAGCTGCCGTCCTGCACCGTGCTGGTAGAGCTCTCGGCGCTGGGCTCGCGCTCGCTGGGCCGCGCCTCCTCCAGGCTGCGCAGGCTCGTCGAGTCGCGCGAGTCGCGCGATCCCAGCTCCAGCTCCAAGTCCAACTCCAGCGCCATCTCGTCGTCGAGGCCACGACTGCAGGCGCGCAAGGCCGCCGTCAGGTGGTGCGCAGCGAGCACAAGCACGAGCACGGCCGGCAGGGCGCCGGGCGCGAGCGCCCACACGAGCGGCACTAAGAGCGGCAGCAGCGGCCGGCCCGCCGCCACCGTCGACACCGTCAGTTGACACAGGGCCAGCGCCAGCAACGCGCCCAGGCGCAACGCCGCCGCCGCCGCCCGGCGCAGCGCCGGCGCCAGCCGCCGGCCGCCCGCTCCGACCAGCAGCGTGCCACGCAGCAGCAGCCACGCCGCGCGCAGCAGCAGCCGCGCCGCGCGCAGCAGCAGCCGCGCCGCCAGCAGCAGCAGCCGGAGCACACACAACAGCAGACGGGCGGCCAGCCGCGGCAGGCGCGCGGCGAACTGCAGCAGCCGGGCGGCCGGCTGGACCGCGGCGCCGGGCCTCTGCGGCGCCATCCGGCCCGCCGGCGGCGACTGAGCCGGCCGGCCGCGCCGCCCGCCGACGGCCGATGCGTGAGCATCCCACCGACGGGACGTGAACTTGGCCGGCTGCCAGCTGTGCTGACGGCCTCAAACGCAAGCGCCCGACGTCGGCTTAAGGGAATCAGAGTGGCTGCCGTGCATGACGGCCTTCCGTTCTGGCATCGAGCGCGGACAGCATGCCACCTACGGTCCGCCGGACAGTACGCCATAACGGCCTTCGGACAGCACGCCATGACGGCCGTCGGACAGCACGCCACTACGGCCGCCGGATAGCACATCACTACGGCCGCCGGACAGTACGCCACTACGGCCGCCAGACAGCACGCCATGACGGCCGTCGGACAGCACGCCACTACGGCCGCCGGACAGCACGCCACTACGGTCACCGGAGCACATATGACGGCCGTCGGACAGCACGCCACTACGGCCGCCGGACAGCACGCCACTACGGTCACCGGATAGCACATCACTACGGCCGCCGGACAGTACGCCACTACGGCCGTCGGACAGCACGCCACTACGGCCGCCGGCTAGCACATCACAACGGCCGCCGGACAGCACGCCACTACGGCCGCCGGACGGCACGCCATGGCGGCCGCCGGACAGCACACCATAAGAGCCGCCGGACAGTAAGCCACAAGGGCCGCCGAACAGCACGCCACAAGGGCCGCCGCGCCGCTCGGCACCCCATCGCGGGAGTCGGCTGGCGAGCGCTCTGCTCAGAATACACAGCCCAGAGGTGCGCCAGAGCGCAGGCCGCCGATAGCGTTGGCAGTCCGTGCCGGGCGCCGCCGGGCCGGGCCGAGCCGGGCCCGCACCGGCCGCCGCATTTGCAATGCTCGGGCGCGGCCGGCCGACCTCATGACGGTTACCAAGGTCGGCCAAGGTGAGCCGAACGACGGGGGGACGGGCGCAGCGGCAGGCGGAGCGGCGCGGCCGCCGCTGCAGGACCCCCCCCCCCCCCCCTCACCAGCCGACGAGCGCGGCGGATTGGCGGGCAACGAGCCTCAGCACTTGGCTGAAGAGCTCGGCGGCATCCGATGCTGAGGCGCGGTGCTGCACGCTGGATGGGAGGCTGGTGGCTGTCGTGACGAGGGCTGATAACCAACGCATCTCTTAAAGGGAATTTGAACACATTGAAGAAAGCATCAGACATGATGAAACACGCTCAATTGTAACTAATGGTATGCTTTTAAGTAGAAAAGACTGTTCTAGACAATCCAATTCCTCTACTTAGTAAACGGTCATTGGAATGACAGAATCTGAATGACGTTATTATGGTGCCATGGATGCCTGAATGACCTTAAAATAGCTTACACAAATAGTCTGCACTACCTTCACGGACGTGCAGCTCAGAAACTAGAGGGATACAGGTCTTACGAAGGACAGGGCTGTAAACTGAATCAAATGGTCTTCAATACGCCAATCTCAGTTCAAAACATCGTACCAATGTGGAATACTTCCTTTAAAAGAAACGTATCTTGAGTACCTTGGTTGGGTGGTGTCGGCCAGAATGAGAACGTGCTAGGTATCGCTCGTTGCTGGTACTATAAATGCACCAACCAGGTGGTGCCATGGCAGTTCAGGGACAGATGAGCCGCCGGCCATTTCGCCGCACACAACCGCGGCCGAATCTTCTCCGTCCCATACAACAGAATGACGCAGCCGCCCTGCGCCAGGGTGGCCGCCGCTGGCCTGCCGCCAACTGGCCGCTCTTAGCCCAGCTGACATACCAGAGCAAAACAAACAGGCTATTGTGAACGTATGGCGACGAGGGAAAGTACGGACCAATCGTCATTGACGCGCGGTACAATTAAGGCGAATACTCCGCCTTTTGTACTTTTCACTTGCTATTAAGTCAAACGCACACGATTTGATCAGGAACACCAGTTGTCTCGATATCCTTCTGAACAGCTCAGAACTTCGGTTTGATGTAGCCGACCCTGCGTGAAAAATATAATTCGACTCCGCCCTCACCACCATGAAAGCAGTACATTTCATTTGCTTTTCTTTTACGACGCATGTGTTCTGCAATGGTGCAATACACTAATGTGCCGAAATGCTTTGTTATGTTATAAATGCTACGTTGGGTAACAGGCACGCAGTCATGCCGGTCAAACGAAGACATTGCTTAAGGCCGTACGTAACAGCTGGAACACAGTTTTTTTACGTTGCTTGTGAAAAAGTTCCTTGCCTGGTATCCGTGGATAACACAGGAAAGTACTAGAGCATCCTCATAAACCGCACTGGGAATGCGTGGCATTTGTGGATAACGCAGGGAAGCACTAGAGTATCCTCATAAACCGAACTGGAAGTGCCTGGCATTCGTGGATAACGCAGGAAAGCACTGGAGTATCTTCACACACCGATCTGGAAGTGCCAGGTATCCATGGATAACACAGACGCTTTCCGGCAGTCTGGGGCGCTGTCATAAGAAGACGACCTCACTCGCTAAGAAAGGTAGTGAGCAGTGCGCACGTCACCACTCCTGCTTGGCCAAAGACAGGGCTGAGCTAACCCGCACCACACTGCAGCCTCGGAAGGAGTCTGCTGATTACAATGGAACTAGCTAAGCCGGCTGCAAGCTCCACCAGCTTGTGGAGAGTGCATGGCGCATAGTTTCAAAACGCGGTTGATGTTCACATCATGTGACACGGTCCAGGGACTCATTTGGAGCGTAGCAAACAGTGCTGACTGACCCTGCTTTCAACATACCGGTGATACACTTTAATCCCGCAACAGGATGTTCTGGCCTCCAGCAGCCAGGCGTGCAATTCAGCCACGTGAAAAGGCCAGCTTTGTCAGGGCTTGTTTCTTGCGGACAGCACACCGCTGCGTGTTTTGAACATTGATTTGCTTGGCCTCAAGGTGAAAAACAACGTCATTTTTCTCTCAGCCTACGATCATGAGAAGAATGTACCCGACTTACTTACCATCGCAACTAGTATAATTCTGGATAGAGAATTTAGGATAATAAATGTACAATAAAATTCTGCAATCGAAATCGTGCGACCTGAAAACAAATCGCAACAACAAAGTTTCCATTTCAGCTCACATCAAGCGTTCAATGCCGTCCATTTCACAGTCCAATCGCCCCACAGCTCAGGGTGGCGCCCCCAACCCCAAATCCCCACGCCAGAGCCGGTACGGCGTACTCACGCCACAGACGTGTCGGTGTCATCCTGCCACACCTCCGGGTACTCCTGGATGCCGGTGTTGTCCCACTCCAGGCTGGGCAGGTCCTCGCCACGCAGCTCCATGCTGGGCGAGCGGCGCAGGCTGGAGGCGGCCGAGTGGCTGCGGCTGAGAGGCGGGCCGCGCGCGCCCTCTGGCGGCGGCGCCGGCCGGCCGGCGCGCGGCACCGCGCTCCAGCCGTGCAGCGGCGAGTCCCACTCGAGCGAGCCGTCGGTGGCCGGCGAGTCGGCCGGCCAGTCGGGCGCCGGCTCGCCGGCAGCCGCCGCCGCCGGCGCCGGCTCCGATCGCAGCCCGTACTCCGAGGCCGACTTGCCCAGCTGGCGGCGGCCGGCGGCGCCGGCGCGCTCCTCCCGGTGCGGGAAGTGAAGCGTCACCAGGTTGGTGTCCATGGCCGTCATGTCCAGCTTCAGCACGTCCAGCTGGTTCTCCAGCTGGTCGAGGAAGTCGGCGGTGCCGGTGCCGAGGCCGTCGGCCCAGCCGAGATCGAGGCTCAGCTCCGAACCGCTCGAGTCGAACGAGCCGTCGCGGTACATGCGACAGAGCTCGCCGACGCTCAAGTCCACCGAGCCGCCCTGCTGCGAGGCGTCGCGCAGCTGGCGGCGCAGCTGGTGACGGCGCGCCGCCGAGCCCGGCGACGCCGGCGGCAGGCTGCGCGCCCGAGGCGACGCGGACGGCGACTGGCTGCTCTCGGCCGAGGTGGCGGCGCGCGTTCGGCCGCCCACCGCCGCCGGCGCGTGCGGCAGGATCACTCGCTTGCGCGTCGGCTTCAGCTCGGGCGCCTGCAGAGCCTCGGCTCCGCTCTGCCGGCAGAGCGGGTCACGTGTGAGGTACGGATAGGGATAGTCACGCAAACACTGTATAAAACATTGTGCGGGCCGAAGGAATGCCTGCACGGACACGTCGCAGACGCTACGAACTTGCTTCTCCACGGAGTCTCTTGGGATGAGTGATCACCAGTTTTCGAACGATGCGTCGCAACAAGGTCACATCATGACGTCAGTATCCACTAAGTCCTTCAACAGGCAAGCTTAACCCCAACGCACGGTCGCCCTTCCGTGGTCAAACGATTCTCTTCAGCAGCGTGGGACGAGATGGAGCTTAAATGCCCACCACCCACAGATCAGTACCATGCGTATGTCCAGCCTCGCGTCTGTGGTTAGCATTTCACAAGAGAAATGTGGTTTCTTGTTCCCTCTCGCCATAACCAGGAGTACCGGCATGTCTTCTGGCGCTGTTCTTGACTGTGTTTATACGGTCGAATCAAGACCATTCAGCGGTAGCACCGAGCCACCGCCCATCTCTGGCCGGGAAGAGAAGGCTCGTCCCTGGCCGTAAAGACCGGGCCCCGCCCGATCCCGCCGAACGTCAGTCAGTCGACCGAGGCTGCACCTGTCCCACACGCTCCCCAAGCCGGCGGCCGGCACCGCGCAATCCCGGCAGCTGCTGCCGCGGAGGCAGGACAGTGACGGACGAGCCGTCGCTCCTCTCCCAATCCCGGCATCCATGAGTCACATCAGCGCTGCTGCTGAGAGCGCTAGCCGGATTCCCCGGACAGCTGCTGACGTCAGAGCGTCCCCGAGACGACGCTCAGCACGGCGGCAGATGGCCGGACCTGCTCTCAGGGCACACTGCTCGGCCAGCTGTTCCCAGAAGCGGCTTGTCGGCGGATACCGCCATGCGAGGTCACGACCCGCATCAGAGCCACCCGAGGCAGCGGAGCCGCGCACAGACTCGGCCAATGACCCCGCTCCGGAAGTTAAAACTTCCCCCTGAGCTGCTCCACGGACGGCGGGGGCGCCGGCCAAGGGAGGCCAGCCCCTGTCTGACTCAGTCCTCGCCTGCGATGCCGCGGGCGGCGGCGCCGGTCAGGAGAGAACAGGTCCTGCGTGAGTCAGTCCTCACCTCTGCTCTGCCGCGGATGGCGGCCAGAAGAGAACAGGTCCTGTGTGAGTCAGTCCTCACCTCTGCTCTGCCGCGGGCGGCGGCCAGAAGAGAACAGGCCCTGTGTGAGTCAGTCCTCACCTCTGCTCTGCCGCCGCCGGGGGCGGCGGCCAGCGGAGAGCCGGTACCACTGCTGCTCGAGCTGATGAGCTGGTCCGCCTGGAGCCGGTTAAAGATGACACCTGCATCCTTGTTGTAGAACACGGGCTCGAAGTTCTTACTACCCTTGTTGCCCATGTCCGGTTCTAGGCTAGAGTAGTCGCCGTCATCGTCCGACGCGTCCTGTGGGCGACGGGCGGCGTGAGAGGCCAGCCGGGGCTGCCTGAAGCGGCAGCGACTCCGAGCAGCCGCTCAGCGCCGCACGACAGCGGTGACGCCGGACTCTGGACGAGCGCCGCTCGTCCGAACACAGTGAAAATGAAGGTCAAAAGCCGCGCGAAACTGGACGAGTGCATCCGGTTCCGACCGCGCTGGTCATGTGAGCTGGCACAGAAGATGAATTGATGACGAAACAGCTCCGACTGACACCTGGTGGTAACCGGTGAGTCACCACTCTCCATACATCAGCACATGAGACGGGCACTGTGTCAGGCCAAACGTATCGGTGTTATCCGAAGCTACATGACAACGGCCGCAACTTAACTGACGGGACGCGAAGCTACAACAATCGAACGGGCGCGTGCAACCTTCATGTCGAGCTCAACCAGCGAACGAGATCACAACAACCCACCACCACAATCACAGTCCATTGTTCAAAAGGACGCCGTCGTCTAGCTCCGCGCATACTGACAATACTTTCGAAACGCGCCGCAGCGGAAGACCGGCACGTGCCTCACACAGACACTCGCACCCGAACGCCAAATTGGTCGGCTAAGGGCGGCGGGGGGGGGGGGGGGCGGGGCAGCACCTGGCTCGTGTTTACCACGCGGCTGTCCCCAGGCGGACCGCAGACGGGTCGGACATTAGCACCGCGTGGGACCGCACGGCTAATGGGCCCGACGGGGAGCGGCCGCCGAGCGATCGGCTCCCTCCCGGGGAGGCGGGGGAGGCCGTCCCGGCACCACGGCGCCAGCGTTACGGCGCCGCGACGGACGAGCGGTCGTTGCGACGGCTTGGGATACGGCGCTGTCGTGAAAAGTCCCGGCCTCCGGTGCGAGGCAGTTCTGATCACAGGGAGAGAGATGTTATTATGAATGCTGTGCGCATGTCTGGGTGTGTGTATGGGGAAACACGCGTTAGGCGCGGTTCACCAGGACCCCACTTGATCACCCCGGTAGCTTTCTCTAAGAATACCAGAAGCTGACTCACATTCACACCGAGACGCGCCAGTTCATCCACCACCTACCCGGGTACTCTGCTGTCACAACTACCGGAAGGGGGCGGGCGGTGGGTTTCCGAAACACGCACCAAACATCTCACCGAGCCCTTCCAGCCCACAGACCGCCCGCCGCCGCCGCCCGCCGCTGTCCGTTGCGCGAGCGCGCCTGCGCCGCGGCCCACCTGGTCCTCGACGCTGTAGGAGGCGCTGTGGTCGCCGAGGTAGTGGAGCGAGTCGGCGCTGGCGCTGGCCGATAGGTCGGTGGCCGAGGCGCTGTCCTGCGAGCCGCCGTCAGCGTCGGCGGCGCGCGGGCTCCGCAGCCGCGCCGACGGCGCCAGCGGCGGCCCGTAGTACTCGGTCGGACCGAAATAGTGCACCTGCCGGACGGCGGCCCGGTCAGCGGCGGCACACAGGGGCGAGTCCCTCACCACCAGCTGCGCAGAGAGGCGAGTCCCTCGCCACCAGCTGCGCAAAGAGGCGAGTCTCTCGCCACCAGCTGCGTAAAGAGGCGAGTCCCTCGCCACCTCGCCGTGCTGAACTGGACCAGAAGGGAAAGCACTGCCGGTGGCGGATGACTGTCGGAGCGAATGACGGACTGCCGTGGGGGAGGGGAGCATGGGGGGGGGGGGTTAACAGGCCGGATCACCGGACTCAGAGGTCACAGTGGCCGGGAAGACAGGCCACATTCGTCGATCTGAGGAGTGGAAGATCGCACCGGCCCGGCTCAGGGCTGGCATGAATCGTTCTCGGCTGGCACAGCGGCCCGCCCCCTAGGTCACATTAGCCCGAATGGACGTCGGATAGATGAGCCAGCCGCGGGGGCGGCCCGGTCTGCTTCCGGCGGCTGGCGTCACACGAGTCGCACTGTCGCAAGCCGCATCAGCCCGCCGCGGACGTCCGCTTCAGCGGAAAGTCCTTGTTCGTGGGCCGACGTCCGGAGGCCATCCGTCGGCGGGCAGCGCCTTCCGGGCGCGGCCGTTCTGGCGCGCCGGCAGCCTTGTGGCCGGCCGTCGGTCCGGCCGCACCGCGTCAAGGTCGCCGGGCGCGCCACACGGCAGCGGCGGCGGCTGGGCGCGCGCCGCCACAATGGGCGGCCAGCACGTGACGGACAGGGAAGGCCGACGGGTCCGGGTCAACCCGCCCCTGATGACAGAGACACTCCTGCGAGGCGGCGCCGGGAAGAGGCGAGTTATGATGGCCTTCCGGGGACGGGACGAGCGTAGGGAATGCGCCGGCGACCGTGCTGACGACAGCCAATACGAGTGCGGTGCTTTTTGCTGATCCAGCAGTCAACACACGTCATCTTCCCGGTAAAGGTTACGTGGGGGTCGCGCGAAATCGTCACCGATGTGCCAAATACGGCCATCAATTCTGACGACCCTCCACACCGGCTGCACGGCTGATACAAGCCCGTGCAGGCAGCTGAAGACGAGGTGGGCGCGGCCGGCCAGCTGCGTGGTGCCGACTCCTGGACTGAATCGAAGGCCCCACAATCCAGACCGGCCGCCGCCCACACTGCACATGGCGGGGGAGGGCGACGCGGCACCGCGGCCGGGCGCGAGCCAGTGCGGCGGGGCGGCGACGGCCGGACGCGACGCTCGGCGCCGGCTCCTCGCCGCATCCGGACTAACCAGCAGCGACGACGGCGTCTTCCACCGAAGTCCGCGGCGACACACGCGCGGCTCGGCTCTCGCGCTGGCAGGGCCTGCCGAGACGCCCGCGGGCGAACCGACTGTTCTTCACCGAGGTATCACCGGCCGAAAGCACTCTGCACACGCGCTCTCCAGACGCCAGCCGTCCCCGCCCGGCTCCGGCGGCACACCTGCTCGGACTGGCCGTCGCGTCACGCGGCCCTGGACGCGACGG